ACACACACACACACACACACACACACACACACACACACACACACACATAGAAACACCCTCCCCCGCTCCCTCTCCTCTTTGCTGCTTCTATAATTCAAATTCTGTCATGCTCGTTCCAGACTGCTGGCTCCAGTTTCTCTCTCTCTTTCTTTCTCCCTCTCTCTCTCTCTGTAGGAAAAGAAAAGCGAGGGAAAGAGAAGGAGAGGGGAAAAAAGCTCTTTGAGGGACAAAGCTGACAGAACCACACACAGACGAATACACTAAACTAAACTGCAAATGTGAAAAAGCCTGCTGTGCAGTTGGATTCTTGCAGGAACACTGAGCATCATCTGCACTCTTCTCCTCCCTCCACATATCTGTTTTACATTCATTATTTTACTTTTTTTTATCTCCCTCATCTATTTTAGTGGTAAAGGGGAGCATGTTAATTGGCCATTTTCATCACCCACTTCAAGAGCTTGGCTACTTTCAGTCTGTAGTATTGGATAAGTTCTAAAAGATCGCATCCGACACTTACCATAATGTAACATGATAGAATCTATTTGTCAGAGCTACCATGTCATGGTAAACGGCCATCATCAGCGTTATTTTCTCAGGCTCCTCCAGAGCCCCTCAAGACATTGAGGTCTATTGCCCATGACTATAGTCAACTCATCTTGATGTGTGAGACATTTCACCTTAGATGGATGACTTTTGCAATGTCTAGGACTGATCACATATGTGAGATTCTCCTTACTTTTACTTATGCTATTATACACTATTATAACACAAACACAGGCTTCTATCCTCCTTCTTCTGTACCATACCATTCCACATGTAAAATGGCTTCACTGCTGTGCAGAGGTACTACAGACTCAGAAGAATAAGTCAACTTCCTTTTCAATAGCATTTTTAAAAACAGTGCAATAAACGCAGTACTTTTACAGAAAGCAAATAAAGAGAAAACTGAAGTGAGACAAGATGCTCCCAGTGACGATAACAACATGATTAGAAGGCTGTGTTACCATCTTAGTTCAGGGTGTTAGCATGCTAACATTAGCACTGAACTCAAACTACAGGATGATGGGAATGTCAACCAAAGTATTGGACAAAATATAATTATGACCTGATGATGGTGCTCGATAACAAGTCATCACCAAAGTGAGGATCCATTTGGGAACATGCAGGTTGTTGGGATGGTCTAGACCAGTGGTTCTCAACTGGTCTGGCTGCGGGACCCACCATCACCCCTTAATAACAACCGCGACCCAAATCGAGGAAAATGTTCAACTTCTCAAATGTATTTAATGAAAAGATCGTTCAGTTTGAACCTGAGCTGAAAATGTCCTCTGCAGTCGTAGTGTAGGGAGCTCTCTTGTGCAGAGAAATTCTGTCAGTCCCCATCCCACACATGTTTCACGTAAACGAGTAAACTGCTTTGTTTGTTATGTCTGTAGATTCGTCTATTTGTAATGCAAAATGACCACTTGCCTTAATTCGAGCTGTGGTCTGTTGTTTCATGTCATCCGCCATGTCTTCAATTCCTGTACTTATAGTGTCATTTGACAGAGGTATAGTTTTCAGTTTATCCCCTGCTGATATTAGCATTACAAAGCATTAACGCCAAATATTGTTAAGGAGTGTGAATAGACGGCACTCCGCTGCATACAAAATCCCCTTCAAAATAAAAGTTTTTTTTGTTTTTTTTTAAATAGTCAAAGGCCCGCGACCCACTGAAAACAGGTCCGCGACCCAAAAGTGGGTCGCGACCCACCAGTTGAGAACCACTGGTCTAGACTCTAGAGTCTAGAGTCTTGACCAAAGTGGTGGGCCATTTGACCAACCATTGTTAAATGCAATATAGTGCCCCTCAAATTACATTTCAAAGTGCACTTCATCGATTTTACATTTTAGTCATTGTCATATTATAGAATATTGTTTATTAGAAGTTTATACAATGAATTTATAATTGTATCGGAATGTCTACATCTAAAGTTCAGAGTTCACCTTGGAAACAACAGTAAAGAAAAAAGTCTACATCACTTTTAGCATCATTTAGCAGTTGATCTGGAGCTTTCAATCATCAATCACAAGATCTTCATCTGCAGATTTTGAACAAACAAACCGATGAGAAGTTCATGCTGAAAAAAATGCTTCGAAAAAAATGTAAATTCAAACATTTACAATTCAACAACTGGGCAAACTCTGTCTTGTGATTACATCATTGAAATGACCACTCCAGCACAGCAAAGACAGTTAATCGACTTTTTGGTGAGATTGTTTTTGCAAATGTATAGAACATCATCTGGACTTGGAGAATGCAAATTTAGTGTTTTAACAGGTAGTAAAAAATGTCAGAAGTCAACTAACATTTCCTCATTTACCAATATTCTGACCAAGACCCTTTTATTTCTATACAATTAAAAAAGATTGCTAGCTGCTTCACTGCCTCCTCTGTTTCTTCAAGGTCTTCCTCTGTGCAAGGACCTGAACATCCTTGGAGATGGAAAGCTGATGGACACAACGTCCTGTTCCTTGTCTGATGATGACCTCCACACCTGGTTGGCAGGACACACTCACATGCTGTGGTAAACTCATCATTGATCTCTCAGGGTAAGTGAATCATAAAGGAACATTTTTCGTTTCTCCGACATGGTTCATTGCCTCCCTCGCTATGATGATGCAACAGCAACAAGAGAAATGGTTCCTTTAGTCACAGAAAATGTCATAAAAGACCAGGGCAGCCATGATATTGTTTCACATCTCGAAATCCTACAAATGTTCTATATTCACACAGACTGGATGGATTGCATTGAAATATATCCACAGGTAAGCACTTCTTAAGCCATAACCGCAAAAGATTCCTGACTGACGTTTTGATATTTGTATTTTCACCCTTTGCACCAAACTCTCAGGTGTAGTAACAGTTCCTTTAGAATTAACGAAATACCTCTGAGAGGATTCAATAAATACCTGCTGTAGGGTTAAAGTTCAAACCTTACAGTAGAATCATGTTAAATTTAACCTTGACCGATGGCCCTCATCAATGGAGAATGCAATGCCAAGATGGTAAGTATTCAGCGGTAAAGGGCATGGACTAGGTGTTAGACTGTGCTGGACTAGAAGAGTGAGCTGGTGATCTGGTAGGCAGAACCCCACTGCATCCAGTTAATGATCCAGGCTCTGTATCCATCCTGCCAGTGAGGCTCAAATAAGTCCTCTTTGCAGTGATCGAGGAAACTTGGAGCACATACTGAGCAGATGCCCAAATGCCTTGGGGGAAAGCACTATTGCTGGCACCATGACCCAGGCAGGGAGCTCAAGTTCCATGTCACCATTACACCAACGTCACTGAGCTAATGTCACTGTACTAATGTCAGATGACTTTGCCCAGAGAAGACCAGAATGAGTAGCCCCACAAGAGAAAGAGGGACAAAATACCAATCTTGGCTGGATTGTCCCCAGTCCATGTCAGTGATGAGTGTTTCTCTCTAAACATATGACAGTGTGCAGCATTATCATACTTAATTAAACAATGCATTGTTTTCTGTGGTTCTGTTTTAGTGATTACTGCCATCTTGTATTAGATACATTTCATTATGGCATGATTACTACACTGAAAATGATATTTGGTGTCTTTTTTCTACAGTAGTGTTGAACTGTGCCCTCTTCATTGTCTGATATTTTTCAGACAGTCTGAACAATTGGTGTCTTTTTCAGGTAGACAGATGTTTTAAACAATAAAAGGGAACATTCTCTGAAACTGTAAACCAAACAAATTAGAAAGTGACTGAAGGGATCCTTGAATGTGACTTACAAAATCTGTTGCATTAAAATCCATGAAGGGTCATATTTTGGAGTGGCGTTGACGTGAAGTCTTTAGATTGTTTAATTTGTCAAAACTAAATAGAAGTGAACAAATTAAGAAATGTAGCAGAAGTTCTATCACATTTTCCCTTTTGCTGTAATGAATTTTACTAATTTCCCAAGGACAGTTGTGTTATGAGGCCCACTGTTACACTTAGACAAACTAGACGGGGGCAGAAATCTCAAAACATGTCCAAATAAAGTCAAAAACTTCTGCATGGTTAGATACCACAGGGGAAAGTGAGAAAATATGTTTTTTAATTTTTGTATTTGTGTGAATCTAACCTTAAAAAACGGTTCAATATCAGTTCGAGAGCTCCCACTGCAGTAAAGGGGAAAAAGAGAGCCTACAAAAAGGATGATGAGCTAGATAGGCTTAGTTTGTTGTACAAAACAAGAAGATTTAGTTGTTAAAAATCGTTAAAACCGTTTCTGCTGAAATAAACCAACAGCAGTCCTCATTCAGACACAGAAGGCGAGCATGAAAAGGAGACAAAGCTGGAGGGCTGTGAGCAGAATGTTTGCAGGCTTCTTTCTGTTTCACTGCTCCCTTCCCTCTTTCCCTCCACCCTCCCAGTGCTGGAGACACACAGAAAACACAAGCTATTTGAAAAAAATGGAGGCAAAATGGAGCAACACAAAAGCAGCGCTTGCTTTCTCCATCGCCCGCTTACTAATCGGCGTCTTTGCTGTGCTCGATGCATGCCTGTCGCTCGTTACGTGGCAGCATTGCCATGGCGACAGGGGTCTGAGTAATCATTTGTGCAATGACCCCTATTCTCCAGAGGGAAGACAGAGGGCTGGAGGAGCTGATGGGGGAGGAGGCTAGAATGAGAGCAGAGCCAGCAAAAGCAGAAGAAGGGAGGGAGGAGAGGAAGATGAAGGGAGGGAGGGAGGGGGCTGGCTGCAGAGCAAAACAGCAGGACCCAGACAGAAACAAAAGGGAAAAAGAAAACAGATTTTCTTTCTATTGGCAGCAGGGGGGAAAAAACATTTATGTTTTTATTTAACGAATATAACTCTCTCAAAAAGAGGGGACAGGGAGATCGCAAGGACACACTAGGATTCAGTCAATTGTAATGGTGGGAGGATAAATGCTGGACTAGAAAATGGACAACAGACAGAGATAGAGAAAAGACAGGAGAAAGACAAAGGCTTTTCAGACAGTAGAAAGCTAATATGCAGTGTTCATTGCCCCCCACAATATGGAGGAGTTACTGGAGCTGGTGCTGGAGGAAAGGTCATGGGGTCATTAACATAAAAAACATTGGGGAACAGGAATCCGCTCAAAAAATGTAATTGCCTGAGATACAGATATATGTTGACCTTGAACATCCATGCCTAATTTCATCGCAATAGTTTTAAGATTTCTTGATTTTGAATATACATTTCTGGAGAGATAGAGTCTCTTTCTTATGGTGGAGTCATGAACACTGACCTTAATTGAGGCAAGTGAGGCCTGCAGTTCTTTGGATGTTGTTCTGGGGTCTTTTGTGACCTCTTGGATGAGTCGTCGCTGCGCTCTTGGGGTAATTTTGGTCGGCCGGCCACTCCTGGGAAGGTTCACCACTGTTCCATGTTTTCGCCATTTGTGGATAATGGCTCTCACTGTGGTTCGCTGGAGTCCCAAAGCTTTAGAAATGGCTTTGTAACCTTTTCCAGACTGATAGATCTCAATTACTTTGTTTCTCATTTGTTCCTGAATTTCTTTGGATCGCAGCATGATGTCTAGCTTTTGAGGATCTTTTGGTCTACCTCACTTTGTCAGGCAGGTCCTATTTAAGTGATTTCTTGATTGAGAACAGGTGTGGCAGTAATCAGGCCTGGGTGTGGCTAGAGAAATTGAACTCAGCTTTCCAAAGATGTGATAAACCACAGTTAATTTATGTTTTAACAGGGGGGGGGGGGCAATCACTTTTTCACACAGGGCCATGTAGGTTTGGATTTTTTTTCCCCCCTTAATAATAAAAACCTTCATTTAAAAACTGCATTTTGTGTTTACTTGTGTTATCTTTGTCTAATATTTAAATTTGTTTGATGATCTGAAACATTTAAGTGTGACAAACATGCAAAAAACATAAGAAATCAGGAAGGGGGCAAACACTTTTTCACTCAACTGTATGTTTTGCTACGTTTACACTGAGCGTCCACACTACACCGGCGTTTTCGAGCACCGAAAACAGGAGTTTGAAAACACTTGGGTTGCCTTATTCGTGTGGACGCTCGAAAACGGATATGTTTGGAAATGATGACGCCCACACCCGCGTTCGCTACTTGAATGGTTCTTAGCAGTCATGACGTGTCCTTCCCTGATTCGTCACATGTCTATCACGTGACTGTTTCCCGGAAAATCATGAACAACATTGATTATCGATCGACTACCAGGTTAATTTATTAACATGGACAACTGATTACAGGTGATGCTGACCTTGCTCTCTTTACTAGCAGCTGTTGTTCATTTAAAGTCTGCATTTCTGCGGAGGAAGCAGCTGTTAATGGAGCGATTAGTGAGCGGTGTGTCCAGCGGGGTTATCAACCCGTCTGAAAACGGAAGACTTGTCTGCCCTTATTATATACTAATTTTGTCCTGCACAACTATTGTGAAGTCCACAGATAAAATGTAAAATGAACAAAACAGTAATTGCTCTCCAGTAGGACGGAGACTTCAACCACCAGCAGAGCCAGGAGTGAGAACAGACACAATGAAACCGAGGAAACGAGTGAGAGACGTGTGTTGACCACATTTATGGACCCATAATCTAGTAAACCTTTATGTGTAAGTGTTAATATTAAAGTAAATTTGATGTGAGACAGAGAGAGATAGAGCAAGACCCACAGCGCTGTAACTAACGTTAAGTCTGAAAAATAAAACTTCTAAAACTTTCCACGAAATGTTTGTTTATAGAGGAAGATTTTAGAGAAGATCTTAAGTATCAAACACGACCTTTCATTATTAAAGGCTACTTTATTACTCTGTCGTATTTTCTTTACTAAGCAACCCATCTACTTCCTGTTTACATAGACACCCACACGCATGCCCAGTGTACGTGAACACCAGTGGAGGGTTGTCAGGGCCAGCAAGGCCTTCTCTGCTGGCCTAAACAGAATCACAAAGTTATAACTATTTTATAATTTCTTAAATACACTACATGTATTATAATGTATAAAAATATTTTCCCCATTATCTTATTTTCTCATTGCACAGCTACTGTGCAATGAGAAACTGACTGTATGAACTGTACTCAGTTGCTCTGCTTCCAGTGCAGCTTGTTTTAAGTAGAGCTTTTATCCAATCAGATTTCACCTCTGTGTCTCTAGGTAAGAACAGAGGCCCGAGGCCTGCAGACTCACAAGTGAATCCCTTTGCAGTTTAAGGGAATGGGGACCATATTGTTGATTGTCAGTGTTCAACCAATCAGATCTTTAGTTTGACATGTTGGGTGTATTCTTTGACATGCCAGAGCCTGCTAGCTGGCCTACAACTACGTCAGCATTAACGTGCAGGTCAGTTTTAAGGTGCAGCTCTGCAGTAAGGTGCAGCGTGCACTGTGATTGGTCAGTGGGCGAGCGCGTGGCTATTGGGAAAAGAAACTTAAGGTAGCCAGCAGAGCTTAGTCGGAGTAGTAAGAGTTCAAATTGAAAGATATGGAATAGATGACATTTTTTGCATTTTGCTTGGTGTAGATTTTTTTTAACTCAATGGCTGGAGGAGAAACAGATTTATGAGTTGGGATTTAACCGTGGGATTAAACTCTGTCAACAAAGAAAGGAGGATGGAGTTTGTCTTCAAGTGATCAGCACTTAATATCTTAATGACCCTCGAGTGTGTCGCAGAATGCGTGTTCCACTGAAGGTCTACTGGATTGATTTGTCATGCTTTGTTGTCATATGAATATATGTGACTGGTTCTTGTGAGTGACTGATCTGCAGGCTTTAGCTTCTATCTTTATCTTTTTAACACATTGTAGACCATTCTGGCTTTTTGTTTTTCCAAAAACTAGATAATATTTCTTCAGTGAGTGCAGTTGGCGACAGTGTGGTCTTCATGTTAACGTAGTTCTGACAGCTTGACCGAGTTACAGAGGGGGCTTAGCTGAGGCTCAATTCATCCTGAGGGGAACATTAATGTTTGAACCAAACTGGACTGGCCAACATTGTTATAGATTCATGCTGCTATCACGGCAAATGACAATTAGGGCTACGTCTAAAAACATTGTTGAATGCTTCTGGTGTCGGTGCAGTCCCAGATCTCTGGAATTGCTTTTATTTGTTATAGCTGGCTGCCAGAGCTACAAAAATACAACCAAAGTTGGAATGAACCACAGCTTTCCTTTCAAGTAGGCTTTTAGTAGAAAATCTCACAAAAAGACAAATACAAGCTTCATTGTTGTCCAAAAAGTATTAACACATCAATGAGCCTCACTGTTGCTCTGGTGACATGGTCCTTCAATCACCATCAACACACTGTAGTTTATTTAGACTCAGTCTAAGCTCAGTCACATAAGCCATCCTACTGACTCAAATACTCACTAGAGCAACACTTGGATTCATCCGCTGCTGAAAATAGTCTCCAACAAATGCATCTTTTTCTCTTGAGTCACATTTGCTAATACACTACAGTGAGCTGCCCTTTCAGGTAATTATTGGGCCATTTAAAGAAGTTAAACTATATTGCGAGTTGTTTTTACATCTTCAGTACGAACCGATGGACAACAGACAGGGTAGTGAAGTCAGAAAGTATCAGCATTGTCACGGGACATAATGAGGACTCAAATGCAGATAGTCAGAGTAGTGAACAAAAAGGGTTTAATAACTCACGAAACAAAAACGGGTAATCCATAAACTCCCCAATAACTCCTCCGAGGCCGAGAGTCAAAGTCCACAACCGGGTGGGTGGAGGGGGTCCGGAGATCAAGAGGGGAATTCGAGAGACTGGGGGTCAGGGGTCCGGAGATCAAGAGGGGAACTCGAGAGACTGGGGGTCAGGGGTCCGGAGATCAAGAGGGGAACTGCACTCCTGGGGCTGGAGATCAGACGGGGAACTGCACTCCTGGGGCTGGAGATCAGACGGGGAACTGCACTCCTGGGGCTGGAGGTCGCTGCGGCACCGAGGCGGTGGCGGCGGCTGGAGGTCGCTGCGGCACCGAGGCGGCGGCGGCGGCTGGAGGTCGCTGCGGTACCGAGGCGGCGGCGGCGGCTGGAGGTCGCTGCGGCACCGGCGGCTGGAGGTCGCTGCGGCACCGAGGCGGCGGCGGCTGGAGGTCGCTGCGGCACCGGCGGCTGGAGGTCGCTGCGGCACCGAGGCGGCGTCGGCCGGACCGCCGACAGGACACGGGGAGCTGGAGTCGGCCGGACCGCCGACAGGACACGGGGGATCGCTGCGGCCCAGCGGGAGCGGGGGATCGCTGCGGCCCAGCGGGAGTCTGACCCTTCTTCTTCCTCTGTCTCCTTCGAGGGTTGAGCTGGTTGTCCATCAGGTCGCGGTTTCGCCTTCTGGACACCCCGAGGCCCACCAAAAGCCAGGCGGGTTCCCCTGAACTGCTCGTACCACTCAGGGGAACGGCACTCCCAACCATGGTCTGCTGAGTCCATTGTTGGCCAGATCATTCTGTCACGGGACATAATGAGGACTCAAATGCAGATAGTCAGAGTAGTGAACAAAAAGGGTTTTAATAACTCACGGAACAAAAACAGATAATCCAAGGACGAGACAAGGGGGGAAATCCGGCAGGACAAGGCAGGGCAAAAAACAGGGCAGACAGACTGGGAAACCGGGAACAGGAAGAGCAAAACAGGCTGGTAGGTAGGAAACAAAAGCAATGATCTGGCAGTGAGTGAGTGAAAGACAGGGGTTTAAGTAGTGACTAGAACAGGTGAGGAGAGTTGTGCTGATGAGTGAGAGTGTGACTGGCAGGTGCACAGAATGAACTGATTAGGGACAGGTGAAGGAAGTGAGGAGCTACAGAAAACCACACAAAACACCCAAGGCAAAGCCTGATTGTGACAAGCGTTGCTGGTTTTGGCCTTTTCATAATTAATGGTTGGTTCTCAACAATAATATAATTCACAACTTAATAGGATGCTCATTCAAATCTAACGTGTGATGCGACCACATCAGAAATCGAAAGTGTTTAAAGCTGATCCAAACAGCCACACTCGAAGCCACAGCCAAAAGCTTGCTGGCATTAAGCGGGGGAGAGAAATATTTTTTAAATATAGTTTACAATGCACATTTTCAGACATTCTCTGCTGGATGAAATCCAGTCTTGGACTTATTTGTTCACATGTGGCATGAAGGAAATGAAAAAAATGAGAGCGAGTGAGAGCAGTTCAAACCCTGGCTCCTTTCTCAGCTCCTCACAGAGGTGTGGATGTTGGATGTTAGTGAAGTTACAAAAATGGTCATCACAGACCTAATGTGATGCAGGCAGACAAAGGCAGCTTAAAACTGACTGCTGCTTTCAATGATGAACTTTCCACTAAATCTTGTCTATGTCGAATGCACTGACACAGGTTGAAAGGTTCAGTGCGTTGCACTCTGACCACCAGGGTGTGGTCAAGTGTGAATAGTTGCTCGTGGGACCACAAGTCTTGTAGTTAGGGTCTGGCAACGACTGCTAAATGGCAGCGTGAGCAGGATTTTCAGGCTGGGTACATCTATTCCTTCAAAGGGGATTAAAGGAGCGGATGTAATTGGCCATTACTAAAGCTCGCCATCATTAAAACTCCACCTGCTGATACTGCAGTTCTCCTACTAATGTATTCATCCTGTTCCTGCTTGTCTTCAGCTTGTGCCATGCTGCACCAGGGTTGTGCCTTTTGTCAATAGAGTTGCTGATATTAGTTAGGAACACTCACTGTGCCTTGGGTTTGTGCTAGCATTGTGCTGGTGCTTACTGACAGATATTATTGAAATGGCATATTCCTAAATAGGAATTGTGACCATATAGCACATATTAAAGCTGCACCAATTAATCATCTTATCTAAAGATGGGTCAACTGACTGTAAATACATAAAAAATACTTACCTGGCAGGAGCGATACCATGATCAAGAGGGTGGTTCATTCAGGACGAGGCTCACACACTGCACTCCGGTTGTGCTGTTCGCTGCGAATTCCTCAAATGTTTGAATCTCAACGGCATAATTTGTGGTAGTGGTGCTCTCCTCAGACTCTAAGAGGTAGTTGTGCCTCAGTGGGTAGAGCAGGTTATCCCTAAACCACAAGGATGGTGGTTTGATCCCTGCCTCCTATTGTCTTCACACCTTGAGTGAGGCCCTCACTGCTTCGGTTTTACAACCCGCAACTTTACTGTTTTTGTTCAGGGTCAATTCAGCTGGATACGCTCTCATCCATCTTGTTTCCAGCTGCAACAATCAGCTGTTAATAGCAAAAAAGCTGTGATAGACTCACACACTGTACACAGAGATGGGCAGTATTTCTATTACTTGTATTTGAAATACGTATTTCAATTACTTTTGAGTATTTTGTAATTTGTATTTGATAGGGCTGATAAAAATCTAACGTAATTTGTAACAAAATACTTTAGAGTGGAGTAACTTTGTATTTAAAATACTCAAAATACTTTCTCCATGAATCAAAAAACAGTTCACGAGTTCAGTCTTCAGATCCTCAAGTTCAACAGATTGTCTGTCAAGTTAAATATTTTATCTGAGTGTGACAGATGTCAACTAGCTTGATGTATAATTTATGTCTGGGTCTGACTACGTAGCCCATTGTATATACATGGTGATGGTTATAATATCAAGCTAGTGATCGATGCTAACATGCTAATGACGCTAGCATGCTGTCTAGGCTAGTGCATAGCCAGTGTTTAGCAAGTTAACTTATCAGTGGAGTAGCTAGCTATAGGAAGAGGGAGATTGGGAGCTTGTATGTTCATGATAACCTTATCAAGAGACGTCTGACCATCTAATCTTGCACTGTATTACAAGTTATGCTGTATCTTCTCAATGTGAATGTCATAATGCCATATCAATTACTGGCAGATAATATAGTTCACAGTTAGCCAGGCTATGACAGTAGATGTCCATTTGTTAAAAAAAACTAAAAAACATTAAATATCCAATTTATTTTATTTAAAAGGCATATTATGAAAGTATTCTATATTTTGCTTTTATAGTATACATAGGCCTAATGTGTGATGCTATTCATATGTGATGAATATTTTCTTGTTGATACAAAGCCAAAGTTTATGGGCTGTCCCATTAATAAGAATATATATATATACATAATCAATCAAGTTGTCTTTTAATAGCTTTGCTTAGTTACACTGACATTCTGTGACTGTTCTTCCTTTTTGTGGGTTCACCAGAGCTTTTTGTACATTATAGCCCAAACCTGAATGCTCTGCTATACCAAATTGTGTGAAAACGGAAAATACAGAAAAAAGTATTTCCTATATTTTGAATACAAAATACATGTATTGTATTTTGTTACATTTTCTGGCACCAGTATTTTGTATTTTATTTTAATACATTTATTTGAGGGGTATTTTGTATCAAAATACATTTTGATGTATTTTTGCCCATCTCTGGCTGTACACTACCTGCTCATAAACAGCAGACCGATTCAGTTAGCGACTAGTTGTTGAACATTTAGCATTTAGCAGCTAAAGAGACAGATATCTACAGATATCTACCCATGTTGGTGGAGACCAAAAACAGAGCTAAAAGGAGAGTGAATGTTCAGCTTTGTTGGGTGACCAGCAACACCACTCTAACTGTGTAAATAAGCAACTTTTTGCACGTTGACCACTTTATATGGTGATTATAGTCAGATGTTGTGTCTTAAAGCTCGTTCCATTTCCCCTAAGTGGACCAAAAATCTATTCATGTAGTTTCTCATTGTACAACAAATGCTACATTTTGTTTTGCTACTTTATATAATCTACTACTCAATGTAATCAAGAGTAAATGCCTCACCCTTATGGGTTGCACTTCAGAGTATTCAGTTGTTGATGTAATGACTTGGCCAATTTATAAAAGAAGCAGTAGTTAGTTTTTTTTTTACAATTTTTAAAAAACAAATTTTCCTACGTGAAGGACACATCTCGAGACCTAGACAAAACAATCTGCATGGCTTGATACTACTTGTAGCTGGTCACAAAAATCAGTACTCATTAAATATGTCATGTCCCATTAAACAATGCAGCCTTAAAGTGAAGACACTTACACAAAAATATTACATGTTACCAAACATTCTTTCCTTCCCTTAGGTCAATCAGTGAAAGACATTACAATACACCTGAATCTGATGTATTTTTTGTTACGGACATACAGGTTTGGATGGAGAAATCAGACGCAATAGTGTTTCGCAAGCTTCACTGAGGGAAAAACTGACTCAAGTCTTCATCAATTAATCATTTATATATCAAGATGACTGAGCAGAAGTGAGAAGTGCAGTAATTGGGTATCACATAAGATAGAGAAATAGATAGCACAAGGACAAATGTGGAGATATTGAACAAAGAGGAGGCATAGGAGTAATATCTGGGAGTTTAGATTCTGGACTGTGACTTCAGCACAAACAGCTAAGGTCTCCAGTGCTTACTATACATACACAGGAAGCTGCAAGAATACAGCACCTGCTTTGCTGACACCTGCAACTGTGTTGCAATGCTGCACTCCCTCTCCTAGCTACAAAGAGGGAAATAACCATGCTTAGGAGGAAACTGAGGGGTGAGGATGTGAGTGCAGTAAGCAGAGGGTAAGAGTAGCCAGGAATAATCGAGCAGTGGGGCTGAAAAGATGAGGGGAGAACATCAATAGAGGGGATGGGAACAGGGCAGTGCAGATACGAGGTAGGACTGGAAATGGAAAGAGACCACAATATAACGGAAGAATGTGGGAGAAAGAAAGCAGGATGATGGAATGAAATCTGTATTTTTCACGAAAATGTAGGCCTAACATCAGTTTAATTGGGTTTACTTTTAAGCTGTATGTATTAACTGTAGCGCTGCTGTGTTCTTAATCAAATAGTTTTTCAGTAGCTTAGCTCTTTTATTGATCAAGTAGTGAGAGAACGTCCATATGCTATATTTCCTGAAGCATTTCTGAAGCTCAAGCTTTCTGCTGCAGTCTGAAATAAAACTGAAGGATTAGTAAGTGAGGGACATGTATGTTTAGCCACCAGAAGCGCTACCGTTGCTGTGGCCGTAGGCCTACACATACTACCACAAACGTACACGCTTTAATTATATGCTACTGTGTAGTTTACTGTGAAGTCTTGTTAAATAATCATGCATTGAAAGTTGAATAGACACTATACATACAGACACATTACCTCAAAGTTGCCTATAGAAACAATTAAGTGCCATGTTCAAGTCAATTTAGGCTACTGCAGTGGCAGTCTGCTGTTCCCATGTTCATACCATTTTGAGTTTGCTGTTGTTGCTGTCTGAGGTTGCCTGTAGGTAATCAAAGTTCAAATGAAAATGACTCCACAATGTTTCTGAGTACTTCTTGATCTCAGGTTGATCTGTTACTGACTTTAAATCTAGATAACATTCAAGATGTATTTATTGGCATTTATTGTCACGACCATAATACACACTACATCTGTCTGGAAGCAAAAGAATCTCGTCTGTTGTATACGTTGTTTGTATGCAACAGACGAGACACACCATTAAAAGAAGTTCCTGCTAAAACGAGAGACATATGTAGAAAAGTAATCACAGATAATAAATAAAATAAATAAATGTCCAAGATTGTGAGAGCACATAAACATATACAACATATAAAAATGAAAAAACATGTGTGTTATATCCTATCTTCCTATCTCATCTTCTTGGTTGTAAAAGCCTGTTTTGTTTTGTCTTTGAACTTCCCTTAACAGATCGCATTGGAAGCTGCCGATGTTGCTGTGGTGATACGGTCCACATCTTGTCCCTGTGCTGCAGGCACAGCCCCATGTAACCATTCGGTGGGGCTTCTTTATCAAAGCACATGTTGCAGTGACTTAAACAAGATGGAGCCATTACATGTTTGGTGCACAGACAGACTGCAGACTTGGCATAGACCCGGGACCCAGGTCAGCGATCAAAACTAGGTTATGATTGGTTTGTTTATAAGGAAGTGGAGGCATTTTAAAGTACACAACTTAACAGTCTTTGTTATATTTTAACAGGGGATCCAGGAGTCTGTTGATGAGTTGGTGTTTTGTAGACCAAAATTGAAGGGAAGGTTGGTGTGGAGTCAGGTGTCAAATCCATCTTCTATTCAGGTGAGTAAACCTCATGAATGTTATTCCAAACATCTGCAGTTAAATCAACTCTCTCACAATTGCAGTTGTCAGTGCTATTAAAAATACACACAATATAGCTGATAGTCAATTACAGCCTCAGTAATTATGATAAGAACATGTACATAAATGTTGTAGAACAGATTTACTTGCTCTCTCATTGAACCCATGGTGCCAGATCTTCAGCATTCTGTTTCGTTTTCAATGCCTTCAACACCAAAAGCCAATTGGCATTGGACCTGACACTTATATAATTGGTATAAACCCTGATTTATTCTGGTGTTGTAGGGCCCCTTCCTGACCTGGGTGTGGTGCCTGTTGGGGACAAATTGAGAGACATTTGGATACAGCGAGGGATTTGAAAATATTCTTTATGGACTTTAGTAACTCACCATGAGTTACTAAAGAGTCCTATTTAAATTTGGAACTGTGCCCTTTGGATCTGTTTTGTTATACCAGTGCCCTCTTGAGGCTACTAGGGAAACTATGAAACATCCAAATGCCCCAGAATTCCTCAGCTTCCTATTGAGTTCATGCCTGACTTGGGGCAGCAGTGCTACTTTGAGAGCATAAAGGTGTCTCATGATCTCTCTGAAACCAGGGAACAGTCTGACAGTCCCTTGTGGATCCAGGTACGACCACCAAGACTGCCTGCCAGCCGGTTCAGGGAGGTAAGTAAGTGGTAAGTCCTCCGCAAAAATCCCTATCAGCCCTCATTCTTAATTAAAGGAACGCCCCACACTCTGGTGTTGAAAACAGCCTGAGAAAATAAAATGGTTTTCTGATATGTGTATTGTGTCTGTTTATCCGTGTGGGCTCATTGTGCATCCCGATGCACCTCAGCTTGGTGCCCGCCCAGATAGTAAAGTTTTTGACCCAGCTGAAATCTCACTATTTGGACTAGTGGAAGTGAAATGCTGCAATACTGACTCGGTTGCTGAGGTTAAGCACCTAACACCAGCCAGAGGTATGACTTTGTAACTGACACACACACAGATTTCCCAGTGCAGAGGGTCTGGAGGGATGAGGACACCGTCCACCAAATGAGGCAGCAGCTTGATGTTCTATTACAACAACTACTGTACATGGATATGTTTTTCAAGTCCAGGCATTGAGTAGGATATGTGCTATCTGACTTGTGAGAATGGGGACAAGATTAAACCTAGTTCTGGCCTCTCCTTGACTATGTTGGTAATCTAGATGTACAAACTAGTTTGTTAGACAAATGTTTATTCATCACTCAAACTTGCTGCATATTGCTACGGCTTGTTATTGTACTCATGTTCTTTATGGAATCTTTTCTGTAAGAGGGAAGCAATCTTCTTATTCTCCATTCTATGCAGTTCATGAATTGTTGAGTGTAAAGTAATCTCAAAGATTTTCATTTAAAGAAAAGTCTGTTAGTCACTATGCATCGCCAAAGGAGGTAGCACAATGCTGATGGAGCCTATGGCCCACTGATGAATGTATTGCAATATTTATTTATTAGTTGTACGTCAAACCAGGTGTCTCTTATCATTGTACACACACAAAATGGAACTATTCACATAATTCTGGAAACTTAAAGCAAATTTATCGACAAAAAGACTCCAGACTGCTGAACTCTGAGCACAATTCCTTTGTTTCACTCAAATAGAAATTCTATATCAACCAGGACTGAAAATGGTCAGGATTGCCACTTTAAAATCACAACTTGAGAAATTAGATGGTTTAACCATTGAAATGTTGGCATATCTCTGTAAATGTATGAATACATATATAATGTATTTGTTTTCATGCTGCACTTAATAGTTGTTGTTGTACTTGACACATGCAGATTAAATTAAATTAAAAAGTAGGAATTTGTGATGCCAGTGTCTGTGTCTCTTTTCCTTAAATTAAAATTAAAATGCCACTGACAGCATATCCTCAGTTAAAAACCCTTTGTCAGCCTGGACTCCATCTCCAAAATTTTAGTATTGTTGACTCTCACTGGGAGGCCTTAAACTGACCAGGTGGAGGCAATAAAGCATAGTCATGGTCAGGGTAAGGGGCGGCAGCTGCACCGCCTGAGGTAACATTCTCCTGACATTCTCCTGACTTTTGGGCTTTTTTCCCAGTCATTCCAGACAAAGGAACAGCCTCCTTTTTAAGGCGTCTTATCCTTTCGGAGTTGAAAATCCTCCTTTATAAAATGAAGACGGCAAACATAGGTGCTCCCACAAAGAATTTTGAAAGTGGCACAATCGTCTCTTCTGATCGCAGTAACACAGCGAACTTGCAATTAATTATCCGGTGGAAAGTTGTGGAAACTTGAATAAGGATTCATTGGCTTGTTGTTGGAATAATACAGATCAATACAGTGACTTTTGCAGCTAGATTGCCCCATGGTTTAGCTCCATTTCTCAATGGGAGTGGTAACATGGGTGTTTCAGCTCCAGCTATTGTTGTTTGCATTTATAATAATTGTGTTTCTCTAATAATGAAGAATGAGAGCTCTCTCTTCTCTGAGGATCTATGTGTTTGACAGGTGCAAATCGGCTGAGGACGATGGGCCGGTCTATTTAGCTTCCCGAATGTCACAGCTGATGGACTGATGCTCCCAGCAGAGCCTCGTCCTCCCTCGCCTATCCAAACGTTTGTAACGTTCTGTGTAAAGTTCTGTGGGGACAGTGTTGAGTTAAGTTCATTAGACAACCAGCCCTCACTAGGTTTTGGAGCTTTTGAAACTGTACAGATAGCTTTAGCTCCACCACTACACTTTCACTTGCATTGTAAATAGCTTAGTCAGTGTGTACAGCACAAACAATAGGGTTAAATCACCGTTTAAGTTTTACAGTTTTCTCTTGTTTATACTTAGTCTAGAGCAGGGGTCTCAAACTCGAGGCCCGCGGGCCCGCCACGTCATTTTATGTGGCCCGCGAATCCGCCAGCAAAAAAAAAAAAAAGTAAAAAAAAGTAAAAGTTAGACTTGATAATAAAAATATCCCCGTAGTCGAAATTATGAGACACAAAGTCATAACTATGATAGAAAGTCATAATTCTGAGATAGAAAGTCGAAGTTATGAGATACTTAAACACAGTCATAGAAGCAGCTCTTTACTGTACACTTGACATGGAAATGTATTGTGAGTACATTGAAGACTACTTTAAACGTGGCTTTACAACACATGGAATACTTCACGTGGGATTGTACAAACGCACCCTTTGAACAAAGTTATCGTATTAACTTGTGTTTGATATTTGTCTTTGCTATTTTCTTTAATAGTTTGATCTTTAATGTGGGTTTCTTAACCCTAAATTAAGGATTAAGGATTTAAGTTATAATAACAGAAATGTTTTTACATTTATATAACTGCATGTACAATATTTTTACACTTGAATAAACAATAATCAAATGCAGAGACAGTTATTTACCAATATGTTAGGAGAAGTTACATTTACACCGTCTTACAGTTTTAACCGGCCCTTTGAGGGCGACCGTGATGCTGATGTGGTCCAGAGTGAAAATGATTTTGAGACCCCTGGTCTAGAGAGTAAGGTTTAGTCTTGTTGATTGATTTAGTATTTTTTTTGTTTCTTTTTGTTATGATGAGCCCTGGATACAAACTTCTCTGTAAATAATTACAACATTGCTGCCTCCAGCAATTTAATTGTTGCATTCATCTGCTCTCTGTGTCTATGTTCTTATGTTGCGTTCCCACACCCCTAGATCAGGGCGTAACAAAGTGGGGGCTCGTCCGGGATTTGGACTCGGGACATCTCGCACATTAGGGGTGCATGTGTGGGTGCTATCCGGGAAGTTGATCCCGGACGAACCATAAAAAAATTCGGCCGGGGCCATAACAAGGGGTGGTAGGGAACCGAAAGTAATCCTCAGCTGCTTTTCTTGTTCTGTACACTAACGGCACAGTAGAGTCAATTAGTGGTTTAAAATGATATTTTGGAACTGTTTCTTGAAGAATGGATTAAACCAAAGATATATAACGAATGTAATATTGTAACCCTAAATCTAAAAGCACAGCCCTCTAATGGACTTTATGGGTAATACTCTCCTCCAGTCACGAGCATTCATTCGCCCACTGAAAATTTGCACTAGCGCAGACCATCAATCAGCGTGTGCCTGCCCGAATACGTGTGAACCACACAGTATATAAATCAGCACACACTGCTGCCTGTTATCCCACAACCACTTCAGCGAGCAGTGTAGGAGTAGCAGGTTCCCCTTGGTAGAGGGAGCCACCTGTTCTTATTGAACTAGGGTTACAATAGCATAACCTTTGTTCTAAATCCCAAAGGCGCCGCTCTCAACTAGACTGCATGGGAACAGTGTGTGGAGCCCGATTAGTGCAAGCCCTGTTGTGACATGACCTACGCTGACCCAGCAGAGAGGTAGGAGGTGCCAGCCAACCCAGATAGTGAGTAACTGAACTGGGTAAAGCCATGGCCTAACCCTGCAGGGATCAAAAAGACAACCGTTAGACACCCTGCACACCACATTCCCTGGTTCATCAAAGAGCATGGGGACATGTAGATGTTTCATGCCCAGAGGGGGGGGCCAGACGCAACACAACCGACACACCCCATTCTTCTCACCAGTCCTCTGTCGTTCCAGCAAGCACAGACCCTACAAAAGAACCAAGAGATAGAACTGTATGAACGAACAAGCCAAAAGGCTTGGTTGATACACTCAGAAAGCCCTCCCGCCAGGCATTGGATTGGGCTTTACCGACCACACCCTCCCCAATGCACACAAACAGCTGTTCAGTGTGTCAGATGGGGCTGTGCTTTCAACATAACATAAGCCAACGCAGAAAGTGGGCAAAGCAGATGTAACTTTGCATCCAGCTGTACAACCCTCAACCTGAAAGAACTCCTTAGGCTCTTGGGAACAATAAAGATTTTGGTCTGAGGTAGCCCCACTGTGGTCACCACAAAACAGCAAGCAACTGATGTACTTTAACAGGGCAGTTAGTTCACAAACTCTCTTCTAAATTCAGTGTAAGCAGCAAAGCTGTCTTTAATGACAATACCTTCAGAGACAAGCGCTCCAGAGGCTGAAAGGGACCCTTCACCAGGGCATCGAGTACCAATGGCAGGGGGGAGGAGGCATGCATCACTGGGTGTTAGGAAGAAATAGCTGCTGCATACACTTTATCAGTGGCATGAAACAGCCCTCTATCCACCAAAAAAGGAAGAATATACCCAACTGCACAGGACAGAAGATCTAGCCTCTTTTCCTCGCACTAGTGTTGGAACCCTGACACTTTGATGATGGATCACGCTTTTGCCTCCTGGGGTACATCTCAAGTCTCTTAATTGCATCCCCGTTTCCCTCACTTGGGTCCTTTCCTTGCGTCTTAGTCCCTCCCACCAGGGATGCATGGAGGAAACCATGCAAGGAGAGAGGAACTAGGAAATATGTTTTACGATACATGAGACGTCCTTTCCTCAGTTGCGTCACGTGAAGCCACGTCTGTTTCTGATGACGGAGGATCAGCGGATCACAGCTGGATCAGCTGTCAGTCGGCTTTAACAGCTGGAGAGACTTTTGAGAAGTTAGTGTCTGTTCACATGATCACTGTACTTAATAATAGTAACTAATAATACTAATAACTAATAAAGACACACAGTAATCACCACTGTAGAGGTGTTTCTCTCTGTAGTCTGTTAACAAACTGTGTCCTGTGTTCTGTTTATAAGCACAGGATCCATTTCTCCCGGCGGAATGCGATCGTCTTATTTATGAATTATTTGCGTCTGTACGTTTTGAAATTGTGACTGTGACGTCATTAAATCACCCAGAATATGTTTATTGTTTCTCTTAAATGATAAAACTCATCAAACACTCAGGAATGATGTAAAACGTGTTTCGTCTCTCCAGCTCTCTCTGACTTTAATTGTAATAAAATTCATAATTCATAATAAAAGTTATTGAGGGAAACATCAGATCATGAAAACACAAATCTTTCTAATAAATGAAGAAAGTTGTTTGTTGTTCAGACTACAATGAACATTTAAACTAGAGTTTATTCTGTGATCTGTCTTCACTCTGGTGTTAAAGTCAGTCAGTCAATCCGATCGGCTGCAGCGTCCAATCACATGACTGATGAACAATGAGGGGGCGTGTCGACCGTTAAAAGACTTCCTGGAAGTCTGTTCTCGTGGTTCCTCGCTCATGGCTCCTCCGAGGTCCCTCCTCCATCCTCGATCCTCGCTCCTCCAGCTACATTAGAGCTTTGGGACGGCCGTCAATATGGCGGTGCAGAAACAACTTCCGGTTCAAGCGAGGATCGAGGAGCGAGGAAACGACAATTAAGAGACTTGAGAAGTACCCCTGGATGGTCTGCACAATCTGTACAGACAGCCCAGCCCTCCTAAGGTGGTCCCTCTCAAGAGACAAGCCTGGAGAGGATGGCCCAGTGTGGGCTTATTGCACCCGCCTCCTGAGACGGAAGCCCTAGAACTGGGAAATTGTAATTTAAACCTGGAGCTACCAGAATGACCAACAACTGCTCCTGCCTCACCCTTCACAGCAGGAGGGGGACAAGGTAGAATGTCGAAAAGGCGTGAAGCAACTTTTTGGGCCATGGCAGGTGTGCAATTGCGTCCACCCCCAGGGGTGGATCGTCCTGCGTCCCAAATAGAACCAAAGCGGGCAATGGGTGTCGCATCGACAGATCCACTTCCGCTTTCTACTTGACTCTTAGTGGTACACCTCTCGGCATGAAGTTGCTGTCCTCCAGTTGAATAATATGGACAGCCTTCAGAGACAACAGGTGCTCTGTGGCCCACAACCAGAGGCTCTCCGCTGTCCTCAACAGTGCAGCAGTCCAAACTCTGCCCTGCCTATTGATGTTGGCTACCATAGTGAGGTTGTATGTCCTCCCCAACACGTGTCTCCCTCATATTAGGGGTCTGAAGTTCTGGAGATTGATGCAACGTTCCTCTGCCGGTGGCCACAAATCACCAACTGCAGACCCCAGGCTTTGTGAAAACCTTGACGATAAGTTCGTTGAATAAAAGAAAACCCTCATGCCACAGTTGCTCAGCGGTTGCAGTGGCATGTCGACACATCAGGCTCGTAAATGGTAAATGGACTGTACTTGTATTTCTCTTTTCTAGTCTTCCGACCACTCAAAGCGCTTTAACATTCATTCAACATTCATTTCATCATTCACCCATTCACACCCATTCATACACTGATGACAGGAGCTACCATACAAGGTGCCCATCAGGACTATCTAACATTTACACCCATTCATACACCGCAGGAACAGCCTGCGGGAGCAATTTGGGGTTAAGTGCCCAAGAGCACATCGACATGGACTAGCGGAGCCGGGGATCGAACCGCCGATCGTCTGATTGAAGGACGACCCTGCTCTACCATGAGTCACAGTTGCCCTCGTGGCTGCTGAACACCGCTCTCTGTGTAGTCTGTGCTAAAGCACTCAGGCGTCGTGAAGATCCATGCCGACACTAAAGCCGGACATGATGGGCAGGGATAAGGTTCTTGAAGTGCAACTCTATCCATGGAGTTTGGCAGTTAGTGGGCAAAATGCTGTTCACTGAAGGGAAATAGATAACAGGCAGTGTTGTGTGCCGCCTTATATACTGGGAGGTCTATGCATATTCGGGTAGGCACGGGTAAGCACGCCCTAGACCGGCTACGCTTTTGCAGATTTTCAATGGGTGAATTCGTGCTTGGGATTGGAAGAGAGTACTACCCATAGAGGCCAGTAGAGGATGGAGCCTGTGTTAGTAAGAACGTGTTAATTAATGAGCTTCAGATGTGTTGGTAGGTGTATTTTTAACCTTGGATAGAGCCAGGCTAGCTGTTTCCCTCTGCTTTCAGTCTTTATGCTAAGCTAGGCTAACCATTTCTAGACTCCAGCTCTGGAATGAACACACAGACCGTTCTTAGGATCTATTCTTTTGGTAGAAAGTAGTTCCAATAAAAACAAAACTTGCTCAAGATTGGGGTGGATGCAGAAATCATGCGTTACTGCCCATTTGATGCATCTTGTGTATTTGCATTAATGTGTTGTCATGTGGTCTTTCGTTTGTTGTTGTTGTTAATGTTGTTGTTGTATTTTTTTGACTTACTGCACTTGAAATGGCGGGCTTTTTTTTTTTTTTTACTAATTGTGTCATTCAATGGTTGAAAATATATTTTGAAGAGGGTTCCTTACTGAAAGCTTTCCTCATGAAATCAATAAGGCACATATTTCAGAGTGGGGATGCTCTCACTTATATGTTGAATATCAGCTCCAGCACCTCCAACAAGCCTTTATCTGGTGAGCAGCGATCTTTATATATTCAACTGAAGGAAACCTCTGGGCTGTGCTCCGCTTTGCAAACAGCTACCTCCTCTGGAAGAAAAAATGAGTGTGTGTCCTGCTCTGCATCATATATTCATCATTCATAGAGAACAATACAACCAGGTGCCCTTCAGCCATCCCTCAGCCTGGTATTGGTCTTATCCAGTCAGAGTTACAGGTTCTCATAAATTCTGCTTCGTACTGCTTGGAGAATAAATATATTGTTGAAGACTGTAGAAGCAATGTCCCACCTCAAACGGAGAATTTGGAAACAGTAACAAAACACTAATCACAAAGGGCAGAAAACTAGTGCTGCACTGGCCTCTACAGGTTCAACACAGGTTATTGCACTCACATGGCAAACATTTGATCCTGTGATTAAACCTGTAGAGGCCACTGCAATGCTGCCTTCCTGCTATATGTTTCTGAGTTGGTGTGTAACTGAAGTATACTATATAATATACACAAAGAAACCAAGCGTTTTCTTTTATTAATACTATCCTTTATTCATTCCACATATTCAGCTGCCATGTCAATAACGACATTAATATTATTATACATTTCAATAAATTGTATTGTTGTATCAGATATTGTTGCAACATGTTTACAAGGGGTGTAAATCACAAGTTTCATCGCGATACGATATATCGATTTTTTGTTCAGTAATATGATATTTGTTGATATCACACAGTCTGCCATGATACAATTTCAATTTGATGAAATTCAGGTGCCTGTGATCAATATGACAAAATCATGTTTCCATTTAACTCAGTCAGTTGCATTTAAATCAACTCATGAAAAGTAACTAAAACATGATTTGACACTTTCATCACTGGACGCTGTATGAAGTAGTTTCACTCGGATCAAAACGTGCCATGGAGATTTCAAAATAAAGCCATATCTTAAAGATGATATTGTGTATTGATGTTTTCACTTTGCATGATGATGTTGAATCATTGATCATTGAATTGATATATCTATCCAGATTGATGTATGTTACACCCCTTATGTTTACTGACAGCAAGAGTTATGAATAAGCAGAACTTTTAAATGTTCAGATTTTGTCCAACAACTCATCACAAACACATCAGTCTACTTTGATGTCATGTGAGACCTGTTGTCTTTGCTTATGCTGGATACCTCACTGTGACTCTCAAGATGCTGCCATATCTTTTGTAAAAAACAACAACAACACTGACATAGTGTCCATGTCTGTTGTTCTGAATTCCTGCTCACTGCCATCTTAATTCTGTCAAAGAGGGTGCAGTCTGGGGAAAACACCATTGCCGACTGATACAGGCTGAAATACCTGTCAATGTACCAAAAACACACTTCAAAATTCACTTCACTTTAAAACTGCATTAACTCATTTTTGGCTTTCACACCTGTAGTTGAGTTCATCTGGTCCACACCAAACAACCAAGAGAAGCTAACTTACAGTTATACAGACTGAAAGGTAGCTCATTGACAGGACATTTTTAGCGATTGTCATCCTGCATCATCAGGACCAACAGTTTATCAGTTTATGCAGCACTCTAATGCCTCTGGCATACATGCATACTCTTTGGTGTCACAAAGAGCTCACAAGGAATTAAGTGATGATAAGCATTATTGGTATTATAAGACTGCAAATTGACAATGTTATGAATAATGACAATAACAGGTAGACAAGACTGAACAAACGCTAGATCAAAAGCCCTTTGCGTGCTCCCAGATGACTGGAGCACACAGACATAGCATGAGGCGTCTGTGCAGTAATGATTCAGGGCTCACTACTGTGGATGGCTGTCCACATTTTTATTGGATGTAATGAACCAACAGAGTACACAGTCGGTTTTGACAGCTTTTGACCCATTACTACACGCTGACATGTTGATTTACATAAATAGGTTATATACCGTACATGGTGTTAAATACTGATCAATAAGGTCAATTCCTGAACAGTTTTCACAATCAGAAGAGGAACTGATTAGAAGTTTAGTTATTGAAATCATGCTAATATCACATATTTGCTATTATAAAATCCTACGGTTGGTTCCTTTGCACACCACAAACAGACTCAAACTGTACCAGAGTCTGCTTGGAAGCAGGGAGACCCACCTTTTCAGACGGTCTTGGTTTGGTTGTTTGGTCCGCACTTGGGTTCCATTGACAGCTTTCACACCAGCCCAAACAAACCGTACAACTGACTCAAGTTCGTTTTATCTGTACTAAACGGATCAGGTGTGAAAGCAAGATGAAGCATGTCAGCGTTGTCTTGGTAAAGGATATGAAAAATGCTTTAGCCAACAGTTGGGGTGTAATGATAAACTGATATTGATCAGAAAACGAATGTAAGCGTCAGAATCCCCTTTCAAACAACCTGTTTAAGGCGGGACTGAGCCGACATTCCGCTTAACTGTTTTGTATGAAAGGAATGAAGGCGGAATGGGGAGAGACAGAGTTGTCCCTCAGCTGAGACGACAGCGAGGCAGACACAGAGCCGAGCCGACATCCATGTGAAAATGGAGAGCCGGCACAGTGGAAGGGCAGTGAGCAGAAGTTAACAGCTAACCAACAGTAACGGAGAATGGCAGTGAATTGAAAAGACAACGAGGTCTGGGAGCTCTTCACCCTCTGAGCAGAGAACCTCAACATTCAGTTCATCCGGCATCATTGTTTAGGATGCTGGCATTCACACTCACACATCCAGCAGACACAGAGGCCCAATCCCAGTGACCCCTAAGGCCTTAAACCCTGAACTCTCTGGTAAATGGTTGAGTGTGAAAGACTGTAAGGGTTTGAAATGGTTTTAATACGAATGGGAGAATACTTTGCTGCAACATATCACGTTACCATGACAACATCAAAAAATATTATGTACAATTGTGGGTATTTATTTTATACTTTTTATTCCTTGATTTGAACATCTTCCTCACAAAATGAGAGGTAATTTAAAATAATGTATTTACTTGTTTTTGGCAAAACCGCTTCAATGACTGAATGTAATATTTGATGAATAAATTGGAGAATTATAATCTCTGCTTCATTCCTCTGATTTCATGTGATTTTATGTTCCATCTTTAATCCCAAATGTTTTTGTGTCAACGTAATATTCCAGGCTGAACATAAATGCGCCGTCAATTTTGTTTATCATTTTTTACGCCTCCATGCTTCCGCTGGTAACCCCGTTTAACGTCACATTGCTATGAATTGTGGGTAATTCCCTCTGGCAAAGTCTGCAGAAATGCGGATTTACGGAAAGTGTGAGAGAGACTCAAAGTCTGTGAGTACGTGAGTGTGGAGATTGGGATTGGACCAGAGCAACATTACTTATAATGTGGAGCCATGTATGTGGTCACCTCATGGTGCTGAGCGGGAAGTGTACGGTGGCTTTTTAGAGGTTTTTCTCTGAAAACGGCTGCCTGCCTGTGCTAGAAGCGACACTATGACAACCTGAGAGCAAACCAAGTCTGTGAAGTTGTTGGCCCAAAATAACTGCATTTGGGTAATAATTATCAGTGGGTTTCATCACAACAAGCAATCCAGTCATGTGACCCTTTGAAAATCTCCATTATTGTAGCTTTAAACGTTATCCTCAAAGTGCCACAATGACACAAGTTCACTTGGAGCCTCACTACAAACTCTGACTAGCTGTGGACAAGACATGCTCACATTATAATGCAAGAGAAATATGGACATTTTGTGTGGAATCTTGTGCAGTTGAAGAATTTTTGGAGCCATTCGAGGCACTAATGGACACAGGTCTCAGCCATGGAGGTCCGCTTGTATGTATGCGTCCATCAATGAATCTTCTCAGTCTCAAAACAAATACTGTGACATTTGTCCCTGTGATTTCTGCCTCCACCCAAATACAATGGAGGAGCATTGGAATGGACAAGTTAATAATTTAATAACAATTTCAGTGGGACTCTCTCTTTGCTAGAAAGAAATTCCAATGAAAAAGGTTGACAGTGAGGGCTGTAGACTATCTGGAGTAACCAGGACAACGTGACCGAAAATACACCACTTTTTCTTTAAATGTAAATTTCCAATACAGTGAGCACCACAAATAAGATTCTATTTACCTCCATTGTATTCAGGTGGAGGAAGAAATTTTACAACCAGGATGAATCCAACTGAAACTATCTGCATATATATATATAGATACCAGAGGGAAGCAAGGGAATGTGCTTTCAATGCCCTTTAGAACAGAATAGGTGTTTACCTCCAGGTCTTAGTAAACACCCAGGTGCTAATGTGCCATATGACTGAGCATGTCTTCATCACAGGATGACTTCCACAAGTCCACCACATTTTGACTGACAGTCTGTTTGTACATGGATCCATATATATGTATGTATACACTGTATACATACTGCATTGAAAACAATGATTTATTGGCTTCATAAGGACTATTTTTCCAATGCACATCTTCATTTTAGCCCAATGAGGCATCATCATTTACAATGTGCATGCTTTGGTTTTTGTTCTTCTACCTGTTTTGTTTCTTCTCAAGTCTGTCTTCAAAAGTTTGGAGACAAAAAGTTTGGAGACAAAATGAAGTTCAGCTATCTTGGTCTAAAAGGTTACATTTGCCCTTGGAACACCAAACTTTAAAAATAATCTGTGATTACTTTTTTTTAATCTCGGTTGGTTTATCCAGAAAACTAACTGGTTTTCTGGAAGTCCCAGCTATGAGGCAGCTGCAATGAGGATATTCCTGTTAGACAACCTGGGTGGAATTTGAATAGTACAGAGGAACCGCCTGACGCTGATTGGTCGAGAAGGACATATTTCCAGCGCGCCAGTGTGCCACTCAAAAGATCCCAGGCATCTGATTGGCTCTTCCTGAAGAGGGCGGGCCCTCTGTCTTGACTATATATGTGTTCTGGTTTCAGGCCATCTGCAAATAATTGCTTGCTTTCAGAGAGAGGCGGAACATTGTGTCAAATGTTTCTCCACAGAGCTGACTTAAAGCTTTCTCCTCGAACAAAACGAGTCCCGTTGAGATAGCTGAGAGTCGGGTTTCGTCTCCCGGAGAGGAGCTGGAGGTGGACTGGGGAAATATCATAATGATCAACACCATGGAATGCGCAGTGGACGCGCAAAGTCTGATCTCCATTTCCCTAATGAAGATCCACAACTCCAGGACGCAGAGAGGGGGCATCAAGCTGCACAAAAACCTGCTGGTGTCCTATGTGCTGAGGAATGCCAGGCAGGTCTACATCAAGGAGAAATACGCGGAGATCTATAGGATGCAGCAGTACGAGGAGGTGATGACTGTCTGCAACGAGATCCAGGAGCTCAACCCGCTGGATCTGAACTCAGAGGACGCCGACGATGAGGAGCAGGCGCGGGCATCTTGCTGCGGAGAAGAGGCGAGTCTGTGCGGCTCTGCGTGCCACCGAGGCGCGGTGCAGCCAGCTGCGCACGCCCGGACAGCGAGCGCTCTTTTCGGCTGCTCATCCCTCGAGGACGGGAGCCGGGAACCGGATCCCTCCTACTACCGGAGCTGCTGCATGGAGGCTTCCCCTGTGTCCCACTGTGACCAGCTTCCCGCAAGCAGCAGCACGCACTGCAACAAGACCACGGTGCTGGATTTGGACACTCATGTGGTGACCACCGTGGAGAACGGCTACCTCCACCAGGACTGCTGCTGTGATGCGCTCCAGTTCGGCCAGGGCGCGCAGTCCTCGGCCAAGAAGCGGAAGGTTGAGTTCAGCTGTTGTATATCCGACGTTGAGGAAGTATCGGACTTTACAGCTGCTCGCAAACGGGCGAAACGCGAGGACTGTTCCTACTCCAACCTAGACTACACGGACACGTCCAACATCTCCAACCTGATTTCCATCTTCGGCTCGGGGTTTTCAGGGCTGCTGAGCAGACAGGCGGACTTGGAACAGATCTGTAGCAACCAGGTCCTGGCCAGTCTGGGGGCATGGACCCGAGCGATTGTGGCATTTTGAATCAAACCCTTTATTTTAGGAGACACCGGGGTCAGTTATAACATGTTATAACATTCAACTAAACGCAGAGGAGATTGTTGGGGAATGCCTGACTAAACTCAGGAGAGTGTTCCTGATAACAAAGTGTCGTTCCCATGTTCTGCAGGACGTTTACAACATGTTCTCATGTGAACATGTCGCCTGTGCAACTTCAGCAAATGTTCTGTGTTTTTGAAATGACTACGCAAGACTTAGTGAACGTTCCCTGAGTAACGTGTCCATGACGGAACGCTTACTACAACCTCCCGGGGATGTTCTTTGAACAAGTTTTTGGAACGTTACAGAATATAAAAGGAACGATGGGGGGAACGTTGGCAGTTCACTGGGAGAACTCCCAGTTCACTGTCCTCTGTATGTGCCACAGTCCGAGTGTTGCAGCAGAACGTGTACTTGGTGAAATCAGTGTTATCTCAGAAGCTGTGCAGTGTTACGCACAAAGTGTCATGTGTGAGGTCAGTTCACCATCAGCAGCCTGGTCAGTAGCACATTTAACTGTCCCGTAATGGTCACTTGTTTGGTAATTGATTATTCATAAACTTATAACACTCAAAGTGTCAAAACATCACAATTGGCCAAACTGACCTATAACTGACATGATTGTTCATTATATGTAAAACACTGACAAGGAATTTAGAACCTTTACCTCTGAGCATTGGACGGCATTTTACATACTTGTAATAAAAAGACAAGTGTCAAGAATTATACCTCACATATTAACATATGCCAGTGTGGTTGATTGTTGTACGTGTGACATCACCCACACCTGTTTCTGATTGGAGGATATGGAGGCGTTACAACTGAACCGGTCTCCTCTACAAGCTCTAAATCAACTTTATTTTTGCAGGAAAAAGAAAAGCTATTTAAAAAGTGAGCATTTAAAAGAGAAGGGAGATGAGAGAGTTTGTGTCACACAGTGAGCCGTGTACAGGTGCTCCTGTTGTCAGAATAGGAGAAACATGTCAGTGCAGATGACACTTCTGTGACTAATGAAATGGATTGACTTCCGTTGCCTTAAATGAAATGCACACCACTGCTAACTATTGTAACAAACAGAAAGTGACGGGATGTCTCTCCTGTTCTGGGCCGAGGAGCCTTTTGGAAAAACCGATTGTTGTCATGTGAAAGGAGACTCCCTCCTAAACACTTTGAGGTACACAGACTCTCAACCAACTCACATCACTTAATGGCGCTCCAACACTTTGGTGCTGGAACACTCTCCCAGTGTGAGATAGTGAACAGTGATGGTTGGTTTCCCACCTCCTCTTAATCATGGTTGCTCAAAGCCTTCACAGTAATTCATAATTCCAACATGTCTTGGTTTTGTGAGTTTTACTTTGTTTTGTGAAATAATTATGTTAGTCCTTTTGTTTTAAAAAGGCAAACTCTTGATTTCGCCATAACCTGAGAATCCACACATTAGCTTCATGAGCACTATGTGTACCAAAATAAAGAGAGTATTCAGCCATTCTCTACATATTTTGTTGTTATTCTTGTATATTTGTGCTTACTAAATTGTATATCACCGGATAAAACTGTTGCAGAAAATATTTGTTAAAAATGTATAATCTTAATAAAAAATGAAAACCGTAAATGTGGCTGTTGTGGTTCTTTGGAGCCGTTTGTTCTGATTGAATACTGATGCAGTCACAGGCCTGCAGTGACTGACCAGGGCCACACATTAGGAAAAACACACTTCAATACATTTACTGCAAATGCTTTCATGCTTATTACATCAGGCACACTGGTGTGGTTCCCTTGTATTCACTAATACAAAGTATGGAAATACATATGTCATTAATAAAGGGTGACCGGTGTCTCACTTTATTATAAGCTATTTTTAATAATACATGTAAATAATAAAATACTTTTTACAGTAATCCATTAAGTCTGCCGTAAAGGTTAAAAGGAAAGATCGATAATACTCTAATGTCATTAAATAAGAAGCTAAAGCTAGCAGAAGGTTAGCTTAGCTTAGCACAAAGACTGGAAACACTGAAACAGTCTAAAAAGTTTATGTTCCAGACTATTTCTTAGTTCTGCTGAAAGATATGAGAGTGCTGATCTTTTCAACTACGTCTACGGCAGAAAGCAAATAAGCTTATTTCTCAAAATGTCAAACTGTTGCTTTAACAAGTTGTTATTGTAAATGGATTGAGTCCATGTGATATTTTTCCCAATCTGGCAACCTAAAAGTCATTGCTATTAATGACTTATAAATCGTTATTAAATGATTTAACATGAATAAAGTAACAAGTGTAAACCCTTAGAAAGGGGAAACAATAATAATGCAATATAACTGTCCAAAACAACATTATCTATTTTTATTTGACCTTGGAAACAGTAAAAAGATAAAAAGAAAAAGAAAAAAAGGAATCTCAAGAACTAAATTCAGTGTCCATGGTGCACTATACCTGCACCATGTGAGACCTAGCCTTCCCTCCCCGAGCTAAACTCTGAGTCCTGTTATCTCTGCTCTGTGCCACTTGGTGGTGTTCTTTAAAATCAATGAATGGAGATATCAGCAGCGCTGTGTATCCAGAGCAGAGCCACCACAGACTGACCCTCCCTCACAGCCTCCAGCACCCTCCTCCTCCTCTCTTTCATCCTCCTCCTCTTCCTGGCTGGCTCATTTCTCAGTCTCTACCCTAACACATCACACCATCGCTGCTCCTCCAGCTCTGTGGGCTATTTCCAGCTCCCCCTACCCATAATAACTTGCAGTAGGTAGGGCGTAATGGAAGGAATGAGTCAATGTGAACAATGCATGGTGTAATGACACAGAGACAGGGTGCAGAGGAGTCTTTATTTGATTATTTACAGAGCACATCTACCTACTGCATTAAGATACAACACCCCTGCTTCAGAATAAAGGATCCAACGAAACAAAAAGATGACATGATATCAGAAACAAACCGTGGTTCAGCCTTTGCGCTGTACTCACAAATGGTGTGGACAATCAGCACGTTTCCATGGTGTACAGAGCTCCTCCCTCTGGACCGGGAAAGACACACACTCTTGACACACACATGCGCGTGCGCACACACACACACACACACACGCGCACTCAATCAAAACCTTTGATGTCCTGTTTGGTATCAGTGATTTTTTATTGATCTTCCCTATTTGTCATCCACATCTGCATTTAGGATTTTCCTATGTTGTAATTTATTTTGGTTTGATTCTATTGAAATATTATATTCATAATACATAGTATGAAAAATAATATTCTCAAAAACTCAGATATCCAAAAGCTACATGTTGAGATATGTGGATCTAGTCAAATAAAATAGATGAATCCCTCTAGATTTGAAGCAAGACTCTGGATAGAAATGCTAAAAGAATGTTCTTATTTATTTTACCAATCACTCACTCTGATGTGATGGGGGGGGTGACGTGAGGGTGGGGGAGTGTGTGGTTGGGGAGAGGTGCAGTCTGAGGGGGGAGGGAGGCATGCTTTGTCAGGGGGTGATGCGTCGGGGGGGGGGTGCAAAGGGGGAGGTGGCCAAATGTGACAGCAGAAGGGGGGGTTGGTGGAGGGGGGTGGACTGTGGAGAAGAGGTGTTCTGGGAGGGGGAGGCAGACTGGCAGCAGAGATCGTACAGGTCAGCCAGGTTGCACAGAGGTCTGTGGGGGGAGGGGAGGTCGGGGGGGTTGGGGGTTCTGATGCAGACCAGGTTCAGGCTCATGAGGACACATTTAAAAACTCGCTCTTTTTTTTTTTGCCAGTTTTGGTTTCCCCTGTAAACTAAGCTGGTATTTTTCTGCTACTTGGATATCAAACTACAAACAAACAAAGCTATAGTGTCACTGACCTGTGGTGGTTGCGTACTAAATGAACATCATGCTGTATTGAAGAAGACTTGAAACTAGAGATTGAGACCATAAACTCATGTTTACAATGTTTACTGAGGTAATAAATCAAGAGAGAAGTAGAGTCATTTTCTCATAGACTTCTATACAATCGGGGAACAACAGCCCTCCTCCTGGGCCTGTCTAGTTCATAGAGCCATTTAGCATCATAGGCTAACGCGCTATCTCTCCAGCTTTGATTTTGTATACACAGGAAGCCTGATCAGATCTGTAAAGCTGAAGTTTGAAGTGTGCATTGTTTGACACATGTTCAGACTGGAAGCTTGGTATTTGTGTGTAGCTTGGAACATAAAACACACAATTATTCACAAATCCTTGTACACATTTGTAAATTTCATTTTTAGTAAGTAGCTGTAATACATATTTGGGATTGTTGAAACGAATCACTCCAAACACTGTCGTTTCCTTTAGCCCCGCCTCCCAGGACTTGGTCCATCCTTGTTCTCGTTCACACGAACGGAGGAAGAAAAATAACTCTGGATATTTTATAACTTTTAGGACCTAATGAATTAAATAATGTGTTCATGTGTTGGCATCACGTGGCAGACCCAGAAGCTGTAATTCCACTGTTTGGACACTTGTCAAATTTGCTTCCTGGGGGCTTGGTCTGAACACATTGGTCATGCCTCCATTATTCTGCATAATGACAATAACTATATAGCAACAATATATGAAAAATAAAAGATAAATTCTTCATAAGTGTATATCTAATCCAATCCTTGTTTCTACTAGTAAGACACAATATGATGTGTGCTTATGTAAGCCAGTAACAACTAGTTTCAATCAACTACATCATGATATCCATCCCAACTTTTAGTGAAGGGAGGTGTGTGGAAACACAGTCCATATGGACGATGAGCTATGAGCCCGTCCACCTTTTAGTGGTCCAATCAAATGCAAAGGATTCGATTTAAATTCTTCTTGTAGCTGTGCACCAAGAGACCACGCCTGTCGTGCATAAGAATGGCTGTATATCACTGAAAAAGACAAACCATATTTAAATAAACAGACCACGCCCCTTTGAATATGAATTAGCATATTGCAGATTGAAAACTAGGTTATGTTATTATTTGCATATTGGAGACCCGCTGTTGTATCTTATTTGCATATCATAACTAATTAGGTCACAGTGTTATTCGCACACTGAACATAGAAAATGATGGCGATTTTATATGTAATTTCTGAAGTGATAATAAAAGCACAGAAGAGGAAATGAAGAAAAATGTTTATTACTCAATGATTCATTTATTTATCTATTTCCTAATGAGTCCATTTGGGGCTTTCATGCCTTTCAGTCTTTTTACAATAAAGCGTTGAACTTATTGATTACTGGACTGTACTGAATAGATGAATAGCTGATTCAATGAAGTGGTGTAGAAACATATCCAATCTTTCCTCAATGCAACCATATATATAAAAACACCATCACAAGTAAAAGTCCTTGTAAATCATCCAAACATTCAAGTAAAAGTACAAAAGTATTATCTTCTGAATGTACTTAAACGTTCACTTAAAAATGGCCCTGTGAATGTTATTTTAAGAATAACACAATTTCTTGACATAACTTGCTGCATTAATGTGAACCGTATTTACTGTTGTCGTTGGTTGAGGTCGGACGAGTTCACATACAGTTTGTACAGGCAGGTTAATCCAAAAGGTCACAAAATACATGTGGGGGGTTGTGAAGTAATACTTTCACTAATCTTTGCTTTTTGTGAATAATTGTATACTTTCAACCTGGAAGATGTCTTTAACTGAAGCCATCTGAGAAGTTAAGAGGGAAAACCTCTCTTTGGTGGGACTGCAACAACTTCTGGAACATTTGGCATCAGGGTCACAAGCCACAAAGGCTGGGTAAACTGGTTCAGTATATAATAATGCATTGTGTTTTAGAAGCCAATAATGTAAAATCTCAAAGTAACTACAGATGTCGGTAAAAGTACAATATTTCTATCGGAAATGAAGTAGAAAGTAACATGAAATGGGAATACTCAAGTAAAGTACGAGTACTTCAGAATTGTACTTAAGTACAGTGCTTAGTAAATGCACTTAGTTACTTTCCACAACTGCTTTCTGCCATCTTAAGTATTCAGCTGCCTCCCATTTCAAGCCCAGACACGTGGGAACAGGTCGACGCAGCTGTCCCATTCCAAACATTCCTCCAAATGAGCCCAACAGATTCAGCCTTTTCCCTCAGAGTTGTACCCCCAACCCAGCATGGAAATCACAGTCCATTGTTCACTTTAGTTCGGAGTGAGATCACATTGGGATGAGTCATTTTATGAGTAGGCCTTCATCCACCACAGGAGTGGTGGTCATCTCCTCTTAACTCCAGGAACTTTGTTTAAAATGTTCTGCAGCTAAACGTTTAAAGCATTTAAAGATTATGCATTTCAGCACTTTTTTAAAAGTATGCATGAATGAAAGCAGAACAATAATCATGCTCATTGATAAATAAGTATGATTATCATACCTGCCCACCTTCAGACATCAGAGCCTAAATTATGCTGATTAATCACTTATCTCTCTGTATTGTGTTTGGTGGTTTTGATGCTGCCTTTATCACTATATGATGAAGTGGATTCCTGAGATGACACATGCTGTTAGCTGGATGGACAGAAACATTATTTACAGTTATTTGGGTTATGAGTGTCATTTAGTTAACAATAACCTTTTTCTTAATTCATTTTGATGGCATTAAAGCCATCCAGGCAGAATAACGTCTGTCATGACAGTTAGTGGTTCTACACTGAAGGCCTTTCCTTCACAGACACCTGAAGGCAGCAGCCTCTAACTGGAGCGATGATGTCACTGTCAAGCCACAGTTACACACTGCAGACCTGCTGGTTACATATTGTGCAACAGGTTGTTGTAAAGTAACTGAACCCCCTGCTCATGTGCACACCCAACGTGTTGTTTTGATGAACTATTCCACAGTTTCTTCTGCACATCAACAGTTGCAGACTGACTGCCAAGTTAGCCCGGCCATGACATAACAAAAAGTGTGGTTGGGCAGTTGGCTGGTGAGAACACGCCATATTGATTTTTAGAGGATGTTGAGAGCAGGCTGCTGGTTTCACAGCATGTTGAGCAACAGACAGCGGAGTTTAGGCCTGGATTCCACTTTTTACATGGTGGCTTTTTCAACGCACCAGCTCTTATGATCTATGTAATCGGGACTGAACAAAGACCTGGTGAATACGACCCGATGACTGTCAGACTATGTGGCGTGAAGAGGATTGGCTCTATACACCAGTGCTTTTATTCCCAGTCAGCATCTCGTCTGATGACGTCATACTCCTGTGAAGCACACACCTGCATCATACAACAGAGGCTTCTTCTGAAAGGGGACACAGCTGCTGTTCTACTCCACAATATTTGTACAAAGTCCCTCAGTCGCCTTTGGCCTGCTGTGCTTAATTCCAGTGCAGTCCAACATCCTGTACGTAAGGGGAATTCCAGCCCATTCATTGTCCTAAGTAAAAAAACGGACTGTTACATGTTTTGGAATCAGAAATTTGACATGAATCGGAGTTCCCCTACTCCTGGTTACCACATCAAAATTAAAAAAAAATCACCCCCCACATGGAGTAGTAGTGTAAAGTGTCCCGACTCATGCAATATTCAACACTTTCTCCTCATCTCAGAATCCATCTGCCTCACCGCTGGGTTCATCTCTTGGTCACAAGCAAGCCAAAGACTATTTCCAATAAAACAGTGGGCCTCATGCAGGAAACACTCGTACAGAGACTGGTTAAGTTTTTAAAATTCACAATTTTAAAGAATTTGTGGCATTTACCAATTTTCGCATACTTAATTCTCATCCACGTAAACATGAAAATCAAGAGCAAAAAGCACGAATTTGACCTGAAATCATTAATTTGAATGATACATATTTAACTCAAATAAAACAAAGACAACCCTGATGCAAAATTAATATTCTGTTCACCATATTATCATTACAGCTGCCAATCTACTGAGAGCTCTTTTAGATGTTTTGTTACAGCAGGTCTGTCCAGTGCGATCCTCTGTTAGAACACCCGACAGTGGAACGTCACCTACTGTAGGCTGGAGTATTCTCACACATCACCTCTCATATCAGCCATGGACGGCTTCGCTTTAGAGCGATGTTTTGTTGCAGTTAACTTCATGTCAAATCATGTCGTTGCTGCAGCGGCAGGCTACCATTAATGTTGTCCGATTGTTCTGGGTCCTCTTTTTCAGGATTCAAGCAAAAATGATGTTCACCCCAAAATTTAGCCTGTTACATGTGATTCAGCTGAAAGAGGATGAAGAGACAAAGCAACCTATTTCTGACTTAGTCATTATGTGCAGAATCTTTATGTGATCCAAGTACTTTTCAAATCAGCAGGGAGCATAGGGGGTGTTAGCATGGGACATTTTCAACGTGATAGCTTTAACGTAGCAGGGAAACAGAGAACAAAGTTCATGGTTGGGTCACCAGATAAAAGATGAGAAATTTATTAAATCAGGTTTGACAGGTCAATGTAATTAAAATTGTTTGTTTGTTTTTACATTAAAAACAAATGCAATGTTCTTTAAAATGTGCCAATTGTTTTCACATGCAGAATTTAACACTCATTTAAAACCCAGGGTAAGAAAGTACAATGTTTCACCTGGGTTGAGAATTTTGAGGGAAAAGCTTGATAGTTGACAGACTGGAGGGGAAAATGAAAGAGGGATTTCATGCAAAGATTGTGACCAAGATGACTAAACTCTGAACATTACACGGATGGGCTGTTACAGAAGCTTTGAAAACCTAACCCTTTACTTTCTCCTCTTTGAGCAAGACATTGAACTGTCAAGACATTTTGATTAAGAAAAAAAACACTCAAACACACATTTCTTAGCAAATTATTAATGTGACTTACATGTTAGGATAACTGGGCAATCAAAATGTTAGTACATTTGCATTCAAATAAAACATTTGGCCTTAAAAGCAAAACCAAGAAAATATCTAAAGTTGAAAAAGAATGACAAAAGAGTTTAAAGAAGACACACAAAGTCTCTACTCATGAGGAGCCACACTTTTGAGGAATATTCAAACATGAGTAGACTTTAAAAAAAGAACAAAAAAGAATCCCTCAGGAAACCGATTTAAACTATCCAATATTTAAATAAAATGAGAAAAAAATATATAAAGATGTTTCAAAATCATAAAAGGTCATCCACAACATGCTCTGCATTAAAGTTATGGATGGCCTACAAGCTTTCATGACCACATGCGTGCACGTGTGGGAAACCGTGTGTCAAACTACATGTGGTTGGTTTTTGCTACTGTTTTATTTGCACGAGAAGATGCCAGAGGAAGGGAAAACTGTTGGGATTTTGGTCTTTCCATTGTGTGCGTCGCCTGAGCGTCAAGGCTTCCCTGGCTGGATGGACAGCAGGCTACCAAATTTGAAGTGCTGGATCACAGGGAACTTCTCCATACACTGAAAAGAGAGAAAGGAGGACTGATTTACCAACACCAGACAGTATGCTTCAAACAAAGTACAGTTCTGATGAAGTGCAGTCATCATTCTAGTACTCCATCTGTCTATTTCTTTAGTACTTTTCAGGAACTTTCAACTTACTGTTCATTATTATACTGCAGTGCAGCTTCAAAGGTACCCGAAGAAGATCACAGACAGCTTGTCACACTGTGCAGAATTCTTATCGAAGGTTTTTTTAGTAACCTAGACAAAGCAGTAAAGCTGGGTGTTCTTGACACGAGGGGTTAAATGGGAGTAAATGGTAAATGGACTGTACTTGTGCAGCGCTTTTCGAGTCATCTGACCACTCAAAGTGCTTTACCACTACATGTCATCATTCACCCAGTCACACACTGATGACAGGGTGCCACCTGCCCATCAGGACTCTAACTAATCATACATACCCATTCATCCACCGCAGGCACAGCCTACAGGAGCAATTTGGGGTTAAGTGTCTTGCCCAAGGACACATCATGGACTAGCGGAGCTAGGGAAGGACAACCCGCTCCACTGAGCCACAGTTGCCCCCGTCTCCTGGGAGTTCAGACATTTCTCTACATACAGCGTAGGTTTGATTTATTATCAGATTTCAGCTGATGATGATGCAGTGTTTAATTTATTTAAACGACATGGTTACTTTCTCTCATTACTGAATATACATATCGTATACATATCTCTACCAGTAACTTGTAGGAAAAACCCCAAGCAGCCCAGTCTGAGCAGTCGCAGTTGTTGCAGCATCCTCTTGGCACCACTATATTTGCAAAACCCCAGCAGCTACAGCAGCAACATGCATTGGCTTCGAAGCCATCTACGCCGTAGCCCCTTAACGTAGAATTATAAATTCATGTCAGGTTATGGGGGTCAAGTTTGATCCTGGAACTATTTGGGTCTCATTATTGCTGTTATGTGCACCATTCAAATCAGTAAGAAAATAAGATGGGAATTTTACGCTAACATCTCCCTTCTTCTCAACTAACACACATATCACTCTACTCATTTTTTTCAGTATCTATTTCAGATATATTGTTTACCTACAATCACAATTTATCCAGTAGACCAAATGTAAAACAAAATATTCATATCTTGCCATTCATTAGGGGTGGGGGAAAAATCGAAACAGCATATTATTGCCATATTTTGCGTGGCGATTTTGTATCGATACATAAACTCCAAGAATCGATATTTCATTGTATAAACTATTAATATTGCAATAACGAATGTCGGGATTAATGAATTTGGCAATAACGGTTTCACGTATTACTGCCGCTTGTCTTCTAGATTAAGTGAAGAATGCTTTCTAGTTACATGTGAAAAACAATTCTGTGTTGAAATCTGCAGGAAGAGAGCTAGTAATATTAGTAACGTTAACAGCAAGTACGGAGCAGATCCCTTTGAAGGTTCCATACATTGTGGTGTGTTCAAGCTCCATTCAGTAAATTCTAATGTTATCATGATGTATTGAAATGTAATCTTGTAAAATGTACCTTGGTGAGAAACTTGAATAAATCCAGTTATTTGAAGGAGATGTTTTCACAGCAATATAAATAGATATTAAAGATGAATTATGACCTGCTTAACTTCCTAACATTAACCAGCTTATAATACATAGTTAAAAATACTAATGTTACGATTTTGTTATTTCAACATCATTAGAATTCTGTTTTCATACAAATCATCACTATGGATGACTTAAGTAAAAGGAAATAGTTGATTATGATAATAAATATTTTAGTTCATTGGATATAGGCCTATTAGAAATGGACTGAAGTGAGATGAATGTCGTGAAAACTTGACCTTATTCAAAATTATATATCAAAATTTGCAGTTAAAAAAAAGTTTATAAATCGTAATATATTGCAACGTCACAATACTCAGCATAGCGCTTTTAAAATTGCAATAATATCGTGTCGCGACTAAAGTATCGTGATAATATGGTATCGCGATAATATGGGCATAATCTTTGACGTGCCAGTGGCACCGAGGTAGCCTCCTAAGTACGTCTGCATTAACGTGCGCGCGTGATTGGTCAGTGGGCGAGCACGTGACTAATGTGAAATTTAAGGAAGCTGGCAGAAGTTAGTTGGAGGAGTAAGAGTTCAAATTGAAAGATATGGAAGAAATTACATTTTTAGGGTTTTGCTTGGTATAGTTTATTTATTTTTTTACCTAGCTGTGTTTTTTTAACACTCAATGGCTGAAGGAGGAGAAACAGATTTAGTGGCGGAGTTATTGACAACACCTTTCTCAAGAAGGACAACAAGTGTTGCTGTTAACTCTTACCACTGGCCTTTCAATTTGAACATGTTCAAAATGTCTGTGGCTCAGCCCAGAGAAAGCCCTTAGTGTGTACTGACATGGACCCAGTTTTGGGGAGCAGCAGTGGGGGTGGTGGGTGTCTGCAGTGGGGGTTGGGAGGCTGTTCTGGGGGAGCACAGTGGAATTGAACTCTTGTGCTCAGTCTGTCTGTGCAGTGACACTATTGTTCATGATCTGGGCAGAACTGGGGTGGAAACACATGCCTCAGAGAACTTTAGTCTAAACATATTCAATCAATGAAAATGTGTCATTGCTCACAGATAAACTATCCTAATAAAATGCATTAACATAGATTCAATCAAAATAGCCTAAACAAGTGAAGGCAAACCCACTGATAACCTAACTCGATCCATAGTTATTTATTTCTGTACACTTTAGTCTTTGTTACCAGCGAACCACACACTGTTTTCTATGGCACACCAAAGTGTTGAAAGGGTGAGTCTGAGATATTCTACATTTTTCTTACGGTCAACAAAATTCCATGAGCAAACCCAAACCATCACTGACTGTATCCACTAACAAGTATTGTTTGTGGATAAATCATCTTCCTCTGTGCCATAGACCTCCATTGTTGTCCAAAAACCATTAACAACCCACCAATGAGCCTTACAGTGTCACGTTTGCATGTTCCTTTTGGTCTTTTCAAAAGATTTAACAAAGAGGAAAACAGAGAATAACACCAGCCTTATCTGTTAAGTGTATTAATGTCTTTCATTCCTTCAAGGCAGTCTGGAGTTCATTCATTTCTCTCCACCATGTAAATTAACTTGAGACAACAACAAATCCAATATGATATGATGTTCACAGGGATGAATTATCCATCTCAAGCAAGTCTGTGCGAGTAGATTTGTGTAGTACATTGAATTGAACTGAACCCAATGGCCACCTTGAGGAGGAGTAGAAAGAAAACACTTAAACATGACTGGTAGTAACACACACTAGTAGGGGCCTAAATATGCGGAGGAGAGCTGGGTGGCTGATCTTCTCATGTATGGACAAGACATCCTGTGTAATTCTGTCCATTCAAGTCAAGCTAACAGTCCAAGTGCATCCAGCATTGTTTCCCTGCGCATGTGTCATTTCATGCAATCAGTTTATGTTCTGAACAGGCAACAAGCCCCCAGAACTGCCTCCTCTCTCAGACAGAAAATGGTGGATTCTGCTCCAAGTCTAGTACAACTCTCTGCTGAAACCCTGTGTGGGGCCAGGAAAAGGGAGTGTGGAATGCAAGTCTGCTGATGGTTGCTCCAGGCTTGGAGGAAGGTCGGGACAGGGAGGGGAGGATTTAATGAAGGGAACGGCAAAGGAGGAGGGGGAGGAGGAGGGGGGAGGCAGACAGCTTGGCCCCTCAGCTCTTTGGGAAGGCTCACAGGCTGCTCTGGAAAACACAGGATGTGGGCATGCAGGCGGGGAGAACAGGCTTAGACATCCCCCCAACCGCCCCCACACACACACACACACACACACACACACACACACACACACACACACTCTGTCTATTCCTTTATTAACCCTTTCCTGGCTCTCTCCTCTGCTACCCAAAGAACCAGTCTGTTAGGCTGCATTCACACCAAATCAGACGTTGTGGCAGAAATGCCAGTCTTCCCATTCATTTGCATGTGGGTAGTTTAGGGTGCGGCAGTGGAGGCTGCAGGGGATGCCAAAAAAAACCCTGAAACGTTTAAACAATATCAACTTCTGGAGGAACGCAACCTGACGTCACGCTGCATTGGCCAGTAACATAAGCGCCAATCGGACCATAAGACGACCACAGGAAGAAGAGCAGCGTAAATGACAAACACAGTGGAGTGTAATGTTATGTTCACGTCACTCAGAACCCCACCTTTTTGATAGGCCGCCTATCCTGCATAGTTATTGAAAGTAAATGTGTTTTTTTAAATCTGTGAGCATGGATAGATTACTCGTAGGACCCGGCTTACTAGCACAATGGCGTCACACAACTGGGCCATTTAAGTGGAACTCTCACACCACAGCAGAACCCTGAGATCATTTTCAATTTGGGGTGAATGCAGCCTTAGGAACTCCGAAGGAGCCCGGTGACAGCCGGCTTTCAGCAGTGCTTTGAACCATCAGCATGCTAACATGCCTAAAGTGACAACGCTAACGGTGTTCATGTTTAAAGTTGTAAACCAAAGTATTGGACAAATTAAATGTTTTACCTTGTGATGGTGCTTCAGGAATTGTGAGAGAAGCACCAAGGTTTTCATCAGTCATATCATCATATTCATCTGCCGAGGACAATGGAATGTCTGTACCCAACGTCATGGCGATCCATCCAAAAGTTGGAATTAACATCCACAAATGACGACTGATGGGAACGCCAGTTGAACAGTCAGGGGATCACCAAAGTCAGTCGGATTCATTAGTGAATTGTTGAGCTACTCCAGAGGCACCACACTAGCATAGCTTAAATAAAAATGTTTGTACAGTCATTCATGTTTCCAAGAGGATGAATCCGACAGATTTTGTTGATCATCCTGCTTTTCATCTAGCTGCAGCATCAGGTCAATCTTTTGGTTTACTTTTAACATTATTACTAGCCATTTAGTGCCAATTATAGAATTAGCAAAGCATCTTTTGTATTTATTTATCTATGCAGGTCAAAATTGGTGGTTTTCTATGCAAGTTGTAATGTATCTTCTAATCACTAAATGTTTTAGTTTGGGGTCAGCCCAGATTACCACCAATGATATTGAATTTAATTTTAAAAGCTGCATGAACTCTTCCTCCACCAGCAGACTGATACATCCCTGAAGAATTGGACTGAGCAGTGGCCCAAGAGAGAACGAAGCAAGCATACCTCGGCCTTGTACATTCTGATCAGGCCCTGGTTGACTTTGGACCAGGAAGCAACAGCACTGATGTTCCACAGCTGGTTGGAGTGTTCCGCAAATGGACCGGTCTTCATCTACAGAACAGAGAAAGAGTGACAAAGATCCAGACCCAAGTGAGACCTCTTTGGTGGAGCTAATCCTCACTTTATCAAACAATGTAGTTTGTTGATTATGGTGAAGGATGACAATGAAATGAAGCGTATTCATTTAGAACTTTAACATAAGCACACACAGTCACAAAATGATGCCCAATAACATTCCAACTTCAACCTACTATCAAAGCAGTATATCAATTATAGTTATTCTCTTAAGGTTATATTGTATCATTTTATTGCACCACAAGGTTTCATTGATTTGAACAGGATAGCTTTTACACTTTCCTTTTAGTCCTCTAGAAACCATCACTAAAATCTTTTCACAGAAACCGTAGGCCGGAAAAGTGGCTTTCAAAAGCTTTGAGTCTCTTCAGTGATGAAGCTTTGGTCAGCCTGAGTTGGGTCGGTTAGAACGGGTCCCAATGACGACCCATTCTCGTGGCAGAGAAAGACATGTTTCGGCAAAACCTTTTGGAACACAGAGTTTCTTGATGGACAGTGAAGGCGGCTTATGTTGCATGAGTGTTTTTTGTTTTTACAACAAGCTTCAAATGATGCTGCTACATATATTACAATACAATATGTTTACATCAGTAGATCCATCAGCACTTGTATGTGAAAGTGACAAACACAGAGCATTGTCACCAGCTCCACAGAGCTTTACAGCATCGGTCAGCTCATTGTTCTGGGCTTGTTTGGACTCACTCTCACGGCTCTCATCATTTCAGGTGAAGCCGGCAGCTGTTTTCAGCAACAAAAAAAGCACTCTTCAGACAAACCAGAAATTCTAGGTTTGAGACAGATTTTGTAATAAAAGATACTCTATGTACACCAGTGGGGGGCTGTGCATTTTATACCTGGGCCTTCACTGCTGTCCTGCAGCTGAAACAGAGCTACGGTTATTATTTGTTTTGTGTAAAAATGAAGCCAACACCTGTAGATACACTAACTGCAGAGAATACGCCGAGCGTGCGTCTCCTCTCTTCTCTGACTGCAGCTGGGATTGCTGCGTGAGGCTTCTGTGAGAGTACCCGCCTGTGTGTGCTTTGGGGCGGCGGAGGGGCTCACGGCAGCACCTGCTGCTCGTTTACGACAGTGCAAAACACCAGAAAAGTCTCCAACAACACCAGAACAAGTCGCTAGATTTGTCACTAGTAGCAAAAAAAGTCACGAGGGTTTGGAAAGTCGCCAGATTTAGCGAGCAAGTTGGCAACACTGGCACCAGCTAAATATGTCCCCAGAGCAACATTGGACGTAACAATGGTTCCTATCACATATAAAACCAAACAAAAATCTTCATTAAAAACAAGTTGTACAAATAATATATAAACAAGCATATTAAAGCTACTGCAGATGTAAAAACAAAAGCAGTTCACTTACCAGAGCTGTTCACTATTTAAAAGACAAAGTCCTCCTTTCTTTGTTAATAAAGAGTTTAATCTCACGGTTGTTCAGTACATCCGTGCGTTTTAGTTCCAGTAAGAAGTCCTTCTCGATTCATGGACGCCAGTGAAGACAGTCGAGCCTCCCCAGTTGTATTTCTTGAATACGTTTTAATGCGTTTGAGGCTGAAAATGTCCGCTCGGCAGAGGCAGCAGATATTGGGATTACCACCGCCCAACATGTCACGCAAGCCCACTGACCAATCACGTACTTATAGGCCAGCTAGAAGGCTCTGACACGTCAAAGAATACGCCCAACATGTCAAACTAAAGATCTGATTGGTTGAACACTATGACAATCAACAATATGGTCCCCATTCACTTAAACTGCACATGGATGCACGTGTGAGTCTGCAGGCCTCGGGCCTCTCTTTTTACCTGGAGACACAGAGGTGAAATCTGATTGGATAAAAGCTCTACTTAAAACAAGCTGCACTGGAAGCAGAGCAACTGAGGAAGACAGTAGCTGTGCAATGAGAACATAAGATAATGGGGAAAATATTTTTGTAAATTATAATACATGTAGTGTATTTAACAAAAATTATAAAATAGATATAACTTTGTGATTCTGTTTAGGCCAGCAGAGAAGGCCTTGCAGGCCCTGACGGCCCACCACTGATGTACATACATTGTCTTTGCTTTATCAACGATCTCATATCATCTTTGACCTAAATAGGAAAATCCATTCACTGCATTGACCTTTGTCCCTGTGGACATTATTGATGTTGCTGTCTGGCTAGTCTTGATTGTAACTTTAAAGCTGCATTCACCAGAATCCAATAGTGCCCCCACTGTCCATGTTTGGAAATGAAACTAAAGTGATCCTATGAGCACATTGAACTTGATGGTACGGTTTCTGCGTATCGAATTGTTTAGCTTTTTAATCATTTTTAGGTTTGTTTGTTCTTCTGAAGATGATATGAAGATGGAAGACGAATGAGTGTGACTAAAAACAAACAGGCTGACTGTTTTCCTCAATCTTATCATGGAAATGTGATTACTTTGTTTTCTTCTCACACTGACTTCTCTGCTTTCAATATGCAGAACAGAATGTTTGTTCCAGCAAACACCTAATATAAAAATAATATTCTGGAGAGTGTTGGCTTACAGACAGACAATCACTAGTAAGAATATACAGCAGAACAAGAGGTAGACAGTCACTGTGACGAGAACAAATGTAGGAATTCATAAATGTATGAATGAAGTGAGGACTATCGACTGTTTTCCCACCATTTTCCCCAAGAGGCAGGGGAATCCGAACCCAGACCCTGGGGCATCAATTTAACAACCCCCTCCTTTTTCCATCCCCCCGCCACACTGCTCTAGACACTTTCCAGGGCCTCGCCTGAGAACACATGGGGGAGGGGCATGAGGAGGGAGGAGAGGGGGTGGAGACAGACCATATTCCCTGGAGGAAGGAGTGATTCACAGCAGCATGTGGGGAAGGAAGTGACTCATGTTTAGAACGACACACACACACACACCTTGTATGTGAATAAAAAAAAAGAGCATGAGTTTGAAGTATCCACATGTGTGTGAATAGGACGGAAATACTTGTACATGTAGAGTGTTGAATACTCAGAGGTCTGTCTGAGCAACAGTACACAATAAGGCCAGAAATAGATCCAAGAGCGTCTTGTTTATTCTGTTTTACTTACCAAACAAAAAAAACTCAAGTCAATTTCCCCAATGAGAGTTAAGTGCTATTAACTATTAAGCCTTAATATTGTTGCTATGGTTACCCATAGTTAAAGAACCTTGCACTTGGAGTTAGAATGGAGGTTGTGGGTAATGGTCTATCAACTGGAGCCAGAGTCCAAATGAACTGTGTTGACTTCTATTGACTTCCGTGGTTGGTTGGTTAATGGTTTGCAGTTATAAGACACGAGTACAAATAGGAATAAACTTATTGTCCTGAAACTATTGAGCTGAGGCTTTACTGGCCATTATCAATCCATCCACTCTCCGTAACCACTTATCCTTCTCTGGGTAGCAGGGGGTGGGGCCGATCCCAGCTGACATCCCACACCATCATGGGCTGGCATATACAGCAATTCACACTCACGGGCAATGTAGTCAGCTGTATGTCTTTGGGAGGAAGCGGGGGAAGGGGGCTGGGTGGACCGGGAATCGAATCGGCCCTGTTACTTTGAGGCGACACTGCTAGCCATTACACTACCATGCAGCCCAACAGAAGGCTAGAGGGAATCCATTGAGACCGACTAGCACTGGTCAGTGATTAGCTCGCTAGCAACAGCAGCTTACCAACTAAACCAGTGGTTCTCAAACTGTGGGGCGCGCGGTGGTATTACAGGTGTGGCGCAGGGGGAAATGCAAATTTTTTATTTTTTTTAAAGTAATTAATAAATACATGATGAAATGCCGGTACTTTCGTGTAAATGTTTACGTTACGCCGTTAACAGGGTATGCTTGCGCATGCGCGACGGCCATGATCCTTGGCGACTCACATGTGTGGCTTAGTGTTCCAAATGAAGAGACATTTGGCAGGCAGGAACAGAAAATCAACCGCAAGCGATGCATCCGAGACGAACAGCAAGCAGCCAAGAAGAAAATATGATGACGCCTATCTTGCTCTGGGTTTCACAGTGAACGTGGTAGGAGATGAGGAGAGACCAGTCTGTGTTTTATGTCTGAAAACTCTAGCTGCGGATAGTATGAAACTTGTTTTGTTTAGTTTTTCACAGGTTGCACTTTATTGTTATCTTGAAAAGATGTTTAGTGCAAAACAGGTTAATTGCAGCCAATTGCAATAAGCTACTTTTTGCCAAATTGTTTTTGCACAGATATAACTTTATTTGCATTGTTCTAACAAAGTGATTGCACATTTTATTTGTTTTTGTCTGATGGAGCAATCTGGTTTACTTAAAAGTGATTGCAATTTTCTTTATTCTATTATTTGAAAAAGCACAGACGGAGGAGTCACAAAATGTTATTTCAATAAAAGTTCAACATAGACCATTTTGTTACAATTTTGTTGGGGCATGAACATTTTTCTCCTCCAAAGTGGGGCGCGACAGAAAAAGTTTGAGAACCACTGAACTAAACACTGTGAGAACAGTCACAAACTCAACAAGCTTCTACAAGCACTTTGCAAGAACGAGCTGATTCACTTTACCTTAAACTCTTTGACCATTTTTCTAGGTGAAAAATGTCAATTAGAAGAACAAAACATGCAGGTTGTTGAGAAGTCACTGAGATCTGTTGGTGTGAGTAAAATTTTAATTGTTAAATATACTAGGGGATACTATGAACAAAAAGACAGTCAGTTAGAAGTTCAGTGGAGGCATAACATTGATCTCTTGGGGCAGTGGTTCCCAAACTTTCAGACATTAATTGCATTATATTCTTGAATATATTTTTAAGTAAAATTAACTTAAAATGTTCAAATTGAAGTTAGGAACAGTGCAACTTACATTTCCCCATTTAACAGTAGGTTTTTCAAACTGAATTAGTGTGCAAGAACATAAAGAATCCCACATACAGAATAATGATCAAAGACTAGACGTGCAAGTTACTCAGTGCTTTCTCTGCATAGATCACATTCCTATCCATAGGTACATTCCTATTCCTACATGTAAATTGCTTTCCGACATATTAATTTGTAAATAAAATGAATTTAATTTCTTTTAAGTCCATTTCCCCACATTTAACAGCAAGTTGTGCTTTCACAGGGACAGATGCAGCTTTTACAAAGTGACTTTGCTGGGCATGACAGTTTTCCAATTTCTTTTTGATGATTATTTTTGGTGGTGGGTTTCCAAGTGTCTTTTCAATGTAGTGGGCTTCATACTGTCTGCCGCCAGTATGTTAAGACACACAACACACTGGGTCTCTCTTCTTGGCCGACCTTAGTGCTTGTAAAGCCCAGGGACAGATACGCCTCGTTATATTTTCTTGCTTTTACTTTTTTTGTGTCGTTGTTGTGGTGGGCGCGTCGCCTGAGACACTCCCTCTCTCTCTCTCTCTCTCTCTCTCTCCCTCTCTCTCCCTCTCCCTCTCCCTCCCTCCCTCCCTCCTCTGGGGGGCGCAGTAGGAACACAGCGCATGTCGCATCGGTTCCGCTTGATTTCTTTTTACTTAATTTTTATTTCTTATTTCTTAGGTGCAACCATATGATATAGTGCCCTATGTTTGCAGTTGTATTTGTCATCATTGTATTTTATATTGTTGTACCGGTGTGTGTGTGTGTGTAGGTTGGTGATGAAGCCGTGCCCTCCCTGTAGTTCCACTGCGCCCCTCAGTTTGGGGACGACTGTCTTCATTAGAAGGGGAGGTGGTTGTGCCGAGCGTGGCGTGAACGGCGACGAGCAGTCAGCCATGCAGGCCCGGCGTACGTTTTATCCTCTGCACAGCCCTTCAAGGGAAAGTTGCCTCCAGCACAGACACACATGAGGGACACAGCTGAGGGCAGGAGGCCGGCGCGGGTTGGCCGTAGTCGACCATGCTACCGAGAACCGACCCAGTACCATGGAAAAACGTTCTGATGTGACTTTATCCTTTCAGCAGTAAACTATATGTTGTGTACTTGTAGCTATGGATTGTATATACTTGGATTGAAACACTTCATTCAAACTGGAGTTTATAAACTACACAAGTTAAAATCAGAGTGATAGTAAATGGTAAATTGACTTGTACATATATCTCTTTTCCGACCACTCAAAGCTCTTTAAACTACTTGTCATCATTCAGCCATTCATATACTGATGACAGGAGCTACCATGCAAGGTGCCACCTGCCCATCAGGACTAACTAATCATTCACACCCATTCATGGGAGCAATTTGGGGTTAAGTGTCTTGCCCGAGGACACATCAACATGGACTAGCGGAGTCAGGGATCAAACTGCCGATCCTGATTGAAGGACGACCCTGCTCTACCGCTGAGCCACAGTCACCCATAGATCCGCCCCTAATCAGCAACAATGTAAGAGTGGAAACATTGTGATCACAACAGCGACTGACAACACAAGAACAGACATACAATGAGACTTCTATCCATGAAGCTCTTGCCCTGGTGCATGCTGGGAGTCCTCCCTTCCCTCATACCTGTAACGTGATGAGTACAGTACTCAGCCAGTCTTCAGGGTCGTGTGTCTGATGGACAGTCCCAAACCCAAAGATATTCAGTTTAGAATGATACAAAACAGAGAAAAGCAGCACATCCTCTCATGGTCCTCTGACACTGAAACCAGAGAATGTTTGGTATCTAAATCACCAATAATTGACCGGTTATCAAAATATATACAGGTTCATTTTCTGTTCATCGTCTTTTAGTTCTAAAACAGTTCTAAAATATGACGAGTGAAAAAATGAAAACTGCCTAACGGAGAACCGCTGAGGCCCTTCTTCCCTTCTTGACACAACAGCAGCATCCTTTCATGACTTTTGATGGCCGTGAGGAGGAAGAGGTCAAACGGCAGGAGGGGCAGGAGGAGGAGGAGGAAGAGGAGGGAACGCAATGGTGCTTCTGAGTGGGAAAGAGGCAAAGGATGTAGCTACTCCAACAACGCCCTCCTCTACTTCCCTCCCCTCCTTTTCCTTTCCAAACCAAAAACAAAGCCATTGGTTCCTGCTCTGGCTCTCCACCAACACAATTCATCTTCCTTTTCCTGGACAAAGCTGAGCCGGACCAATTTATTTCCAACAGCTAAATCACTACAATGTCTCCTTAAAGGATATACATTCTGAATATATATTAATATGTCATATCTTACTGGTAATCTAAAAAGTACACAGTGATAGGATACAGGAAGAAAAAAAAAAAGAATTTTATATACATGTGAGGAGATTGTCAGAGTTCAAACACACAGTGAGGGTAATGCCCACTAGAGGGCAGTACTCCTATAAAACAGCAGGGATGGAACTGATGACAAGGCCTCTAACAAAACCAACAGCTGAGTTACTGTAAAGTTTTAATTCAAGATAGTATTTCAATTCCTTTTGCTGTTATTTCACAGTCAGCAGGGTAGAGAAACAGGGGGCCCGGGGACAGGCCGGGAATCAAACCGTAAATGTTGTGGCCATGTGCGCCTGAACCATCAGGCTACCTGGGCGCCTACTATATGAGCTATTTTTCACTCATGGATTTTCCTGGATCTGTCTCAAGATAATCCACACAGAGGTCCTTGGGCTCCCTGGGGTTTTGCTCTGACAATTAAAATTGTAATCATTCATTTTATGTTTAGGTCAGTTCACCCAGACAGAAAAGGTATTTCTTATGCACCTCACAGTGAAGCTACTAAATGCTCCGCTATGTTCAGCAGCTAGTAGCTAGCTGTTCTTTGTGCCTTTTAGTGCTGAGCAGCTGGATAAGAGGACACCTTACACTGAAAACAGCTGCTGCTGCTGCTGCTGGAAACAACATGAGCGCAGGAAGACTGAACCACAACCAGAACAATGAACTCTAATGTGCTAAATGCACCTGTAATAAGTCACGTTGAGAAACACCTTTTATATTACACACAGTCTATTGTTAATACTATTGTTAATACCAAACATTGACTAGAGTTATTAAATAACACAATAGAGTCCAATGTGAGAGTCAAGTTTGTATTCAGAGAGTTGACACTGTTCAACAAGAGTCAGGAGCATCAGCAGGGAGGATGAACAGCATCCCTTTGTGTTGGGTTGCATTACATTGACATGTGTACCTGTTATTTTAGCTTTAGTTAGTACTCAGAGATTTGTTCAGAAGTGAACATCAGAGCAGATATAAAAAGAAATCAAATGGTTGAGTGCGTTTCATTTGCCCACCTCATTTATGAACTTGATGCACTCCAGAAACATGAAGTCTTGGTGGTGCTCGTTCACCACCCTCTCAACGATGAAGTGCCGGGGCTCTAGTGTTGGGTGATCTGAAGGGAGAATGAGCTGTAAGTGCACATGTTCACCACCAGGTGTCACCCGCTACCTTCCCATTAACTGAGATCAAGGCCCCATCCCAGCACTGCTACACAGGATGAACACAACTACATCATGACTTTTAGTTAGCATAGTGCACTGGTCTTCTCCTTCTCTTTCTGACATGTGGCAGCAGGAACAGCACAGGTGTAAATGCTATTGTTCATGCTGGCTCACTGTCTCGTGGTCATGGCTTACTGGGACATTTGGATCAAACACAGCCCATGTTAGTAAATGGCAAATGTCAGTAATATGCAACAATGACATTAGTCCCGTTTTAGCTTCCCTATACTGTCAGCCTGTTTAACATTTGGTTTTAGATTCTAATGTTATGCATTATTGTTTTAGAATATCTAGCGACACTGAGGAACGCCACTTAATTCCATATTATCTCCTGATAGGTAAGCTATGTTGGGACCATGTGCTTGGCTTCGCCATGTGCTCTTGAGCCAAAGAGATCTGGGTCTGTCGATTCTGCAGGCAAGGCCCATCCTGATTTGGGTAGATAGCATCCAAACCCCGACCAGAAAGAAGTTCACATCTAGGTGTGAACTCTTGACCCAAATGCAATGCTGTCCTCCCATTGGCCAAGGCCCACAGACACCCCACAGGTGTCCTGCGGATCAGCCCTGTTTCCATAAAACTTTCACCCCCACCTCTATGCCATTCGATGCGATTCAATTCGTATGTAAGGAGGCATCCAACGTTGCTGTTTAAAAAGAAAATTCTAGGTTAAAAAGTTTTATATTCGCTGGACGAATAGAGACTTGTTTTGTTTTGTTTCGCTTCCTGGACGAGTTCCGTCCTAAGTTCCGTCGGAGGACCGACCAATCAGACCACGGAATCTATTCATAGTAAGGCAAAGAGTCTGGGCAGATTTAAGTTATTGTGTTTATTATCTTGCAGTGGTGGGCCGTCAGGGCCAGCTAAGCCTTCTCTGCTGGCCTAAACAGAATCATTTATTCTATTTTATAATTTAATAATTTTTCACGTATTATAATTATTTTTCCCATTAGCTTATTTTCTCATTGCACAGCTCCTGTCTTCCTCTGTTGCTCTGCTTCCAGCACAGCTTGTTTTAAGTAGAGCTTTTATCCAATCAGCTTCAGCCTCTATGTCTCTATGTAAGGAGAGAGGCCCGATGCCCGCTAGAGAGCCTTTGCAGTTTAAGTATATGGGGACTATATTGTAGATTGTCATAGTCTTCAACTAATCAGATCTTTAGTTTGACATGTTGGGCGTATTCTTTGACGGGCCAGTGGTACCCAGGTAGCAGGCGCTAAGTACGTCTGCATTAACGTGCACAGTGATAGGTCGGTGGGCCAGCGTGACTTTTGTCAAACAGAAAGCTAGATAGCAGATCTTAGTGTTTAGTAAGAGTTCAGGTTGAAACATATGTAAGAGAAGTTATGACATTTTTAGTGTTTTGCTTGGTGCAGATTCAGTTTTGTTTTACTTAGCTGTGTTTTTTTAACACTCAATGGCTGAAGGAGGAGAAATGGATTTGGGAGTTACGGACTTTGTTAACAAAGAAAGGAGGATGGTCTTTGTCTTTAAGTGAACAGCAGCTTTGGTAAGTGAACTGCTTTTGTGTTTTTACATCTGCAGTAGCGTTACTACTGTGTTCGTTTGTCTATCGTGTCGTTTTTATGAATAATATGAATGGCTCGTGTTCTAGTGTTGCTGGATTGATTTATTGCTTTGTTGTCAATAATATATGTGACTGGTTCTTGTGAGTTTGTTCTTATCATTGTGTTAATTACATTGATTTGGACTATATGCATTGTCCGTTAATTACGAAGCATCCCGTCATGCGTGGGGTTATTGTCTGGACAATTGAATCCGGTCGGGCTGTTGTTTTCTTTTACAAAGCAAGAATGATGGTCTGGAGAAATGGGGATTATGTCGCGATTGCTTTAGCCCTGTTTGAATCAGTAGGAACAGCTAAACGCTGCGGGGAGAGTTCGTAGATTGTGTGCCACTGTTGTTTCCCCGTTTAGCCTCCCTGGAGTACGAGGCCTCAGCCGTTTTTTGTTATTGTTCCGGGTTCAAAAGGTCACACAGCCCGTTGTCTCCTATGTGAACGCAGTCCACCAAAACCATTATATTTCCCACAATTTAAGCTTCTGCATTTTCCAAATGCACTAGTATTATTCAAACGTATTGTTCGGTCCGTAAGCCTCGTAGAATACGTGTATTATTACACCCCTAGAAACAAATAACCGTAGCTTGCGCGTCATGATGAGCTTATTAGGTGTCAAGTGTAGTAGGAGAGCTCAGAAGGCCCAGGTATAAAATGCATGGCCCGCAACTGCCTCATACTAGCTAAAACCTTGGTGGTCTGCCCCTTTGTCTTAAAGGGACAGGTTGTACTTTTTAGGCCATGTCCATACTGCTCCGTTTCCATTTGAAAACGGAGTTTTAAAAAAAAAGATCTCGGTCCACACGGCGTTTCAGCACTGTTTTCGAAATGATCTCCGTCCATACGAAAACGCCTGAAAATGAATATCACGTGACTCTTCACGTACACTGGGCATGTGTGTGGGTGTCTATGTAAACAGGAAGTAGATTGATTGCTTAGTTTAAAAAAATACGACAGAGTAATAAAGTAGTCTTTAATAATGAAAGGTCGTGTTTGATACTTAAGATCTTCTCTAAAATCTTCCTCTATGAACTCAAACAGACACATTTCGTGGAAAGTTTTAGAAGTTTTATTTTTCAGACTTAACGTTAGTTACAGCGCTGTGGGTCTTGCTCTATCTCTCTCTCTCTCTCTCTCTCTCACACATCAAATTTACTTTTATATTAACACTTACACATAAAGGTTTACTAGATTATGGGTCCATAAATGTGGTCAACACACGTCTCTCACTCGTTTCCTCGGTGTCGTTGTCTGTTCTCACTCCTGGCTCTGCTGGTGGCTGAAGTCTCCGTCCTACTGGAGAGCAATTACTGTTTTGTTCCATTACATTTTATCTGTGGACTTCACAATAGATGTGCAGAACAAAATAAGCATTAATAAGGACAGGAAAGTCCTCCGTTTTGTGTCCATCACCCTCCCCAAAGCCGCTAACCGTGACTTCAGACGTCCGCTCCGTAGGTCTGATAATGCTGCTGGACACGCCGCTCGCTAATCGCTTCAATAACAGCTGCTTCCTCCGTAATAATGCAGACTTTAACTGAACAATAGTTGCTAGTGTAAGACTGAAATTGTGTGATGATCAGATATGACCACTAGTCGGCGCTGTTCAGGGGGTTTGATGTGATGGAGATGGAGTGACAGGAGAAGAAGAGTAGCGGGAGAGTGTGATTTGATTTGGTGTGCTTCCGTGGAGTCTTGTCCATGTTAAATTAACCTGGTAGTCGATCGTTAATCAATGCAGTTGTTTATGATTTCCGGGAATAGGTCAGGTGATAGGGGTGTGACGAATCAGGGAAGGACATGTCATGACTGCTAAGAACCAATCAAGTAGCGAATGCGGGTGTGGGCGTCATCGTTTCCAAACTTCTCCGTTTTCGTCCGTCCACACGAAAACGCAACCCGGAGTTTTCAAACTCCTCCGTTTTCGGTGCTCGAAAACGCCGGCGTAGTGTGGACGCTCAGCGTAAATGTAGCAAAACATGCGTTTCCAAACGAAAACGGAGTAGTGTTGACATGGCCTTAGTGGCATCTAGTAGTTTGTGGCAGATTGCGACCAACTAAATACCCCTCTGCTAACACCTCCCTTTCCAAGCATGTTGGAGAACTATGATGGCCTACAGGCAGAGATGGGCAAAAATACATCAAAATGTATTTTGATACAAAATACAAAATACCCCTCAAATAAATGTATTAAAATAAAATACAAAATA